AGCTTCAATAGTAGGCTCGTGCACGAGGCGCGCATAATGTACGTGCACACTCCTTAATGAAAATAACAGCTGAGACAGTCAGCTCCGTGTGTGTGTGTGTGTGTGTGGCCCGGAGGACAGAGGACAGGAGAACGCGCAGCTAATTAATTAAATAATTTGGTTCTGTACGTTTCTCTTCAGCACAGCCGACAAAGGTTTAAGATGGGTCAGTCCTCCTGCATGCTCTTGAAAATTTGTTCCAAAATGAAAGTTGAACCCACATCTTTTTTATCTGTGAATTCAATGCCGTTCGGCGAGTCTTAAATAAAAATTTGGGCATCTTACTGTAAAAAATATACCATTAATTTAAAAACGAAACTCTAAATAAATTTTGTTCACATCCAGAATCAAACCCGGGTTTTCTGCATGTAAGACCAATGACTTACAAGGCGAGCTACTGCCTCAGTGACATCACTTGTATCTGTAGCATTTATATTCTTGATGACAGCTAAAACAACGTTCAAAAAACGGTTCGGAAGGCTATGCCTGAGCGTGAACGCGCATGAAGCAGCCTGCTCGACCTGAGCAGCTCTCTTTTCCTGTGATTTTACAGAAAAACAGGCAATCACAGTAAAAATGCCAGGGTTCATTCCACAGGACCAGGGCATTGCAGGAGAATGTATGAAGAAGAAATTTATTATTTCTATACATGTTTTGGCTGTCAAACTTCCATAATGCCCCTTTAAAAACAGTCTGAAAATAAAAAACCCTCACAATACTCATCCTCCGACACACACACACACGCACACACACACACACACACACATGCCCCCTTCCCCATGGAAAAAACACGATGGACTGAGATCAGATGAGCCAAACCAGCTAAGATAAGGATAAGGAAACACCATCAGGGGAGCCATCTGCCCCGACAGCAGCAGATCCACAGCAGCAGCCGAGGCACTGACACAGGACGCCCTGGGCAGGGAGGGCGGTGACCCCCACCTCCACCCAGGCACACCTGGAAAGCACCCAGGCCGCCACAGCCGACCACCGCCCCCGGGGCAGAGGGCATCCACAGAGGAAATGCTGGAAAAAGGTTAAATTAAGGTTAAAATACAAAATCATAAGAGCTGAAATGTGAATTGTAATATAAAAAGTTATATAGATATTAAAATAATGTTGATCACTGGCTCCTTCTGGCTCTTGGAGAGTACAGATGCTTTTTTTTCCTCCTCTCCTCCCTATCTTATCCCAAGGCTCTTTGTCTGTCTTTGGGTGTACGGCACTTCTGCATTTTTTCTGGAAACTGGAAATTATTAAAATGGATCTGGTCAGTTGGTCTCTCAACGCGTTTGACAAAAATTTTTCAACCATGAGAACGGGAAAAGGGGCTCCCGGATGACCCTCTGGGACAGACCCAGCTGGGCATATCATGGACTCCTGGAAACAGTGGAACCTGATATGCCTCTCTCAACTGTCTGTAGAGGATTCTGAAGACGTCCGGATATTCGTGGTGTTGGTGTCCGGATTCCTGCTGTTTGGCCTGAGCAGTTATCTGGCTTACCGGAAAATTAACGAGCTTTTGAGGAATATTGGCTCTATCTCGGAGCTCAGGTATGGAATGCATCGTGCTGTGAACGGACAAACTCATATAATTGTCAAGATGAGTCGTAAGCTTGGAACTTTGGCTGAGATTCAGGCTCTGGCACTGAAAGTTGATTCGATCAAGGAGCGAGTTGACGGGACAGCACGGTTGGGAATAGATTAATCTACGCCATTATTGGATCGAGAGGGGTTGGAGATCAACAGAACTTTAAGACAGAGAGGAAATTATCTCTGTCTGGCCCCAAAACAAGTTCTTATCTGAATCTGGTGCCCTTGAGCCTGTGAGGCTGAAGTGATTACTCCCCCTGAGAAGAAATGTGGAATGCTACCGTCGCCATGGCAACTCTGTCTCACTATCCCAGCCTGGGCGGGACTGTGACCGGTGAAGGCCGTGGAACCGTTTCCAAGAGTCACTGTGCTTTCTAACCCAATTTCCTCCCTCCCCTGTCCAAACAGAGGTGATGAGCCGAGCGCTGCTCATTGCGGCTTCATGCACTGACGTGTGGAGAGTCCCAACACTACCTCCCCACCCAGTGAACACTTATGTTGTGTGTTGTCTGAAGTCTGTTGCATTTCTGTCTGAGGTGTTTTTGCATAGCAAAGCTGCCCTCCCTGTGGATGGTAACTCAGAAGTGCCTTTTTTCCCTCCACTTGACTCAATCCTCATATAAACCCTCTGGTCTCTATTAAGGTAGCGCGACTCGGGTTGTGAATGACCACAGTGACCAATTCTTGTCATGTGTCTATGTATGTATGTCTGATCTCAGAATTGTGTGTACTGAAACTCTAATTTCCCTCTGGGATTAATAAAATATCTTTGAATCATAAATCTATGGTAAAAAAAACTGTTTAAAAATAGCACGTATAAAGAAAGAATAAATAAATAAATAATGTTACTTGAAGGTACATTAAGGCTATCTTAACATATTCATAAAGAGGACAGCATGTTAATTATATGGGTCCATCCAGACTAAAGCTGATATGTAATAATATGTAGCAATAATGCTGACATCAGGAACAACATCAGTCGGATGAAACGCTTTTGGCTGCAAATGAAGATTAAATAAAAACGGTGTTAAGATGCAAATCCACTTAGAACTCATGTTTCAAAGTGTAAACTCCACATTTATTATTAATTTAACCATCAAAACAAAGCTGTAGCAGCTGCTACCTCTGTGGGCAAACGGTGGTGCTAATTCACCACCTCGCAGCTCCCAAACACCGACAAGAAAAAGGGGACCTAACCTTCCTCATCCTGTCATATTCACCAAGCGTCAGCAAGCCTAGCTGCTAGCCTGCCACAAGCAGGTTTGTTCTTCAGCACGTGTTACCACGGTGAATGGGAGGGGCTCCTGAATAGCCACGTTCGTGGAACCGAGTTTGGGGAAATTAAACCGTGATTTTCAAAGAGAGTCTGGTTTTTGGGTTTCAGCACCATCTTCGTGTTTTCTTCTTCTGCTATTCCCGCCCCCAGAGACATCTGACCAATCACAAGATTAAATGATCTTATATGGTTCATAGTGACACAGTTTGTGATTTTCTGTATAAAAAGAAAACAAAACCACAGGCAAAGGACTGCAAACGAAAAGTCCAGGGTCATTTGAGCCCTACAGAAAATCTCAGAACCTTAAATCTTTGTGACATCAAAGTAAAGTGATAAAAAGCTGAAGAAAAGATTAACTTCCACCATTTTAACTCATTGAATTTTTTTACTAAATGATCTGTTTAATGAGTTTAATGCATCAAATGTAAAAAAAAAACCTCTCTCTGAAAATGGGTTTGTTATGACATTATCACCTCATTAATGTAAATGTATTACTGTTAACCGTGTAAAACGGAGCCTTCTAAAGTGATGTAGGTTGTTTACAATGTGACAATGTAATCCCAGACTCCCTATGCAGAGCAACAGGATTAAAGCAGCTCAGATTTACAGGATCTGTGGCTCTGACCATCTGCAGCTGCTCATTGGAGGAAGCCACATGCTGAAAGGGAAACTAGTGACCTAACATCCTATAAACTCATCAGTAATAATTAAAGTCTTCACAAATGTTGGAGAGAACAGAGTCATTAAATAAATGTGACCAAGATTTTAAATGTTTTTATTTAAATATAGAAATAAAAAATATGCTATATTTGGGTTTTTACTCAATTATTCATCATTATCAAGCAGTTTGTCCTGGTAAATGAGGAAGATGAAAACTCGTCCTCCATAAAGATTTTAGACACATTTTCTTAAAAGCACTCCAGCAACATTTGTTGTTAGTTTAAAGAGCAGGCTCACTGAAAAACTTTTATTTGCTCGTTTTTTTAAATATTTTATTTATGTATTTGCAATTTTACAAATAATGTGAATTGTACAGTTGATATGAATGTCAAAAATGAAAGTACAAATAATGACAGCTAAGCCTAGAATGCAAACTACAGACACCCTTTCAAACAAAACAAACAAAGAAGAAAAGAAAAAAAACAACAGCAGCAAAGAAATACAACATGCTAAATTGCTCGTTATTTTTTAAAGTGATCTGTCACTCTGAGTTTAACGTGCAGGTTGACACATGGAAATTGTCTCCTACACCTATCTGCTGCATTAAATTCTGATAGAAAATACACATAAAAACTCTCGGTTCAGAAAATCCTGACAGATCTACGTCACACTGTCACTTAGCATTCATGGACTCGCGATGGGGAATATAATAAATTAAACTGTAAGAAGCTTTATTTCTGGAATTTATTCATTATCATCTTCATTGAAGTGAAGTTAGACAGATGACTTCAATATGACTTGAAAATTCAAAGTTAAGGACTTGGACTTGACTTGGACTTCCACATCATTGACTTTGGACTCGACTTGGTTGTCTTTGACTTGGACTTGACTCGAGACTTGACTGGAAAGACTTGTTTCTTACCTGTGACTTGTAAAGCAGTGACTTGGTTACACCTCTGAAAAGAAGATTTAAGACTATATTTTCATATTGAGGAATTTGTGAAGAAACAAAGAATGTTTGAGTCAGCAGCTGTCTAGAAGTCCGTGATGATCAGCGGCTTTTAAAAAGTCACAGTAAAGCTGTTTCTGTTCTATCTCGTGGTCATGCTTCTGCGGTGTCATCCATCTAAGTCCACTATGTGATGACCGGGTAGGACGACTCTCAGGTGAAGGACAGGAATGCTTTGTAAGGATATCAGAGATTCACAAGATGTTGCAGGAAGTGAGTGATGAGACCAGAAATAGGTTCAGGAATTTTCGAAACATCCTTTTCTCTCAAGCTATTTTTGTTAACTTCGTGTAATTACATACATGCATTTGCTTAATAACCATTCTTATTGCTGTTTATTGTAAAGCATTGTGTGTTACAATTTACTTTTACCCTCCTTTTCCCTTCATCTGACCATCTTGCCTTCTTTTTGCCGCCTTGCAGAAAAAGAGCAGAGAGGAGAGCTGCGGCGAGGGCAGCGGCGTGGAGATTCTAGAGAACAAGCCGTACGAAGATGGCCCCGGTGGTTCGGGTCAGTACACTCACAAAGTCTATCACATCGGCAAGCACATCCCATCCTGGTTCTGCGCCATCCTGCCTCAAGCTGCCCTTCGAGTGGAGGAGGAGTCCTGGAATGCTTACCCCTACACACGAACCCGGTGAGGCGACCACATACAAACCCTCGTGACCAATCACACACGCATCTGGCATGCTGATATGTGTGTGATTAACCCCTAACAGAGGCTGAAATTGTGACCCTGAGTGGATAAAATGTTGGTGGCGTTTATGAGGCGGTTCTCAGCATCAATCATTTAACTAATATAAGAATGAATGAACTTGTCATCAATATCTGACACTTTTGTTGAATAGACGATTGCGGATGAATCCCGTCCATCCAAGCTGAACCTAGTATGGTGAGGTTTAAATTCAAGATTCAAGAAAATGTATTGTCACTGGTGCTCACGTGTACAACAAAATCGACTTTACACTCACTAAAGACAGCGCACGTAAGAGATAATCAAATATAAGTAAAATAAAGTAACAAGGCTAAAATAGAAGTCACCAGGATACCTTAGGCCGCAGCTCGATGATTGGGGGGGGAGCAGTGCACTACCAACACTATCAATAGTAGGGACGGTGTGCTGCTGACCTCTACTCAGGACGTTGTGGATCGGTGGGCAGAATACTTCGAAGACCTCCTCAATCCCACCGACATATCTTCCAGTGAGGAAGAAGAGTCTGGGGACTTTGTGTTGGCCTCTCAAATCTCTGGTGCTGAGGTCACTGAGGTGGTTAAAAAGCTCCTCTGTGGCAAGGCTCCAGGGGTGGATGAGATCCACCCAGAGTTCCTTAAGGCTCTGGATGTTGTGGGACTGTGTTGGCTGACGCGGCTCTGCAATATCGCATGGACATCGGGGGCAGTCCCACTGGACTGGCAGACCAGGGCGGTGGTCCCCTTATTTAAAAAAAAGGGGACCGCAGGGTGTGTTCCAACTATAGGGGGATCACACTCCTGAGCCTTCCTGGTAAGGTCTATTCAGGGGTTCTGGAGAGGACTGTCCGTCAGATTGTTGAACGTCAGATTCAGGAGGAGCAATGTGGTTTTCGTCCTGGCTGTGGAAAACTGTACCAGCTCTGTACCCTTAGGGGGATCCTGGAGGGTGAGTGGGGATTTGCCCAACCAGTCTACATGTGTTTTGTCGATTTGGAGAAGGCGTTTGACAGAGTCCCTTGGGGGGCCCTGTGGGGGGTACTTCCCTGGCACTCTGATATGGGCTGTTAGGTCCATGTATGACCGGTGTCAGAGCTTGGTCCGCATTGTCAGCAGTAAGTCGGGCTCATTCCCAGTGAGAGCTGGACTCCGCCAAGGCTGCCCTTTGTCACCGATTCTGTTCATAACTTTTATGGACAGGATTTCTAGGCGCAGCCAAGGTGTGGAGGGCATCTGTTTTGGTGGCCTGAGGATCAGGTCTTTGCTTTTTGCAGATGAGTGGTCCTGTTGGCTTCATCAGAACGTGATCTTCAGCTTTCGCTGGAGCGGTTCGCAACCGAGTGTGATGCAGCTGGGATGAGAATCAGCTCCTCTAAATCTGAGACCATGGTCTTGATTCGGAAAAGGGTAGAATGCCTTCTCCGGGTCAGGGATGAGGTCCTGCCCCAAGTGGAGGAGTTTAAGTATCTCGGGGTCTTGTTCACGAGTGAGGGAAAACTGGAGCGTGAGATCGATAGGCGGATTGGTGCTATACTGCTGAGGGTGTTAGCCTAAATTGCCAAGTGCACTCACTTCTCAGCCTTCAGAGAGTACAGACGCTTTTTTCTCAGCTCCCTTATCGGCTTCCCCAAGGCTCTTGTCACGTCTGCCTACAGAGCACTTCTCTGCATTTCTCCTGAAACCACTACTCTTTTGGAAATATGGACCTAATTAACTGGTCATTCAACGCGATTGACAACATTTTTCCTACGATGAGAACAGAGAAGGGGGCTCCCACCTGTCCCGAGGGGACATTCGCAGCGGGATATGCACTTGATTCTTGGGAGGTCTGGCGGATCGTGTGCCTCTCTCAGTTGTTCATCGAGGACGTGGAAGATTTGTGGATGTTCGGCCTGATGATCACTGGATTTATTCTGATTGGAGTGGGAGGATATCTGGTTTTCTGGAAATTTGGGAAGACGGGAGCGATTGGAGTGCGACCCGTGCCCATGGAATGTGCCGCTCGGGCGGTGACCTCACAGACTGGGACGTTACTCGAGGTGAACCATAAGCTGGATAATGTCCTTGTGGCATTGCCTGTTTTAGTACGCAAGATGGATGTCATCTCGGAGAGGGTCACCGGACGATGTGGAGATGTTTAGAACACATAAAATTGGCTTCACGGTGGACATGAATGACCACTTAATAGACTCCAAGGAAGAGAAGAAAATTATCTCTGCCTGCCCCAAACAAAGTCATGTTTATCCTTATCTGACACCATAGCAGCCTCTCAAGGCTGCTTCAACACACCCCCACAAAAGGAGGAATGCCGACAGATGCTGTGTCCCGACCTTCACCCTCTTCCTTCAGATTGAGACGTCTGCGGGAAACTCAATGTGCTCTCTGTTCCTTATCTCTCCCTCCCACCTGTTGGTCTGCAGCTGGTTGATGCGCCGTACCGGCAGCTCCCATTGGAGGCTTCAGGATCCCCGCCCATCCTCGCCTCCCCATTGGACTCTGATGTTTGTGTGTGTGCTGTTTGTGCTTCTATGTCAAGGAGTTTTTTTTTTTTTTTTGTATAATAGAGTTACTCCCCGCTGGGTATAACTCTGCTATGCCTTTTTTTTTTTACCTTACCCCCAATTATCCTCATGTAACACCCTTTTCATCTATCTATTAAGGTAGCACAACTCATGTTGCGAATGACCGCAGTCACCACTTCTTGTCATTTGTCTTACCCATGTATGTCTGATCTCTGAATTGTGTGTACTGAAACTCAATTTCGTTTCTCTGTATGTCCTGCACATGTGGTAGAAATGACAATAAAAACGACTTTGACTTAACATGCAGGCTGAACATGGAAATAGACTTCTACTCCTATTTCCTGCATTGACTTCTGATAGAAAATAAAAAACAATCAGTTAAGAAAAGCCTGACAGGACTCACCCATCTTGACCCATGACAGGGAGCACTGTTGTTGGTTTAGCAGCCAGGAAACAGCAGAGAACATCTCGGCTAGTAGAAGCAAACTGTTAGCCTTAGCAACTCCATTTACCCACAGTGTCCATTGTTAATTTTCTGTGGTTAAACAGAAAATTAAACTTATCGCCTCAATTTGCATTTGTCTTTTTAACACCTTGACCCTCCCACTGTCTTTATGGGAGACCCCGTGAGGAAAGTTGACTATTGAGCAGGATTGATGGTTTATCTCTTGAGGTCCACGTGGCAGGGGTGAGGTGGTGCTCACTCCTCACCCCTGCCACATGGACCCAAGGAATAAACCATTTATCCTGCTCAATGGTCAACTTTTCTCGCGGGGTCACCCATTAGGACAGTGGAAGGGTTAATCTAACGACTAAAATGTCTCCTCAGCCTTAATTAGTGTCTACAGGGGTGATTCCTCACTAAATCGAACAAATCCGCAGTGTCCATGAAATGTGCTTGAAGCCATCTGTAGCCCCAGATATGTCAGTTTCACTTTTTCTAAGTCCAGCAAGTGGTGATCCGCCACTCTGAAGTTGCAAGAGTGATATTCTGGCCTCAGAGGCGGTGGGGGCCTGAGTGACATTTCCTTAACCCTGTAAAAAACAATAACAATAAAGTTTTAAGTATGGGGCGTGACATTAAAAGCAGACGCTTTGATGCTCCCCCTGAGAGTAAATCTGTAAGGCTTGTCACCAGCATTCAGACATTAATTCTGTTTGCTTCACAACTAGACAGGACATGGTACAAAAAAAATACAATCTGATTGGACAAGGTTTTTCCAGGATTTTATATTTCAGAGGCTATTACAAGTAAATTTTTTTGACAAAACATTTAATTTATTACTTGCTATGGTTTCTGAAGATAATTTCAAGCAATATGTCATGCATGCTGCAGAAAAGCATCCCTTTAACAACAACCTTCTATTAAGACGCTGAAGAATGCTGGTCTCAGGGCTGCTGTTGCTTTTACTGGTTTGCTGAGGAGAATGTCGTGACTCTAACCCTCAGGCTGGCCTCTGCACTTGGTGTGCCACAGACTGATTTTACAAGTTCATTAATGACTTTTGGTCACTTGTGTCTCATTTAGGATGACCTGATGAACTCTTTTCATTCTCTCCTTTCTCTGATATCCTGTTGAATGACAATAATGAGTTAATCTCAATCTGAAGGTGTAAATTATTTAATGAATTCACTAAAAGTGTTTATTATCTTTTGGCTATTTGACTTTATTGTAACATTTAAAGTTTGTGACTGTTTGTCCTTTGAATCCCAAAGTGATTGTCATTTTACATGTTATTCACATAGCCACTGTAAGAAGCTGTGTGTGTGTGTGTGTGTGTGTGTGTGTGTGTGTGTGTGTGTGTGTGTGTGTGTGTGTGTGTGTGTGTGTGTGTGTGTGTGTGTGTGTGTGTTTTTCAGGTATACCTGTCCATTTGTAGAGAAATTCGTTATAGACATTGAGACGTATTACAAATCAGACACTGGAAATCAGCTGGACGTCTTCAATCTGTCCTCTGCCGAAAAGAGACAGAGGACCGTCGGTGAGGTTCTCCTGTGTCTATTTATATGGACACACACACACACACACACACACACACACACACACACACACACACACACACACACACACACACACACACACACACACACACACACACACACACACACACACACACTGAAATGACCCTCTGGACAGATATCATCTCCTAATAGGCAGAAATCAGATTCTTGCTGCTATTTGCGGTTAAACCTCCAGCAGCGCAGCACAGAGAAACATGGATTGTGGAGTGTAAGAGCTTGTGTTGGGCCTCTGCATACTAAACAAAATAAGAATCTGCACACTTCAATCTGCGATGTAGGAGTAAGGCAGTAAGGCGTTTCCTGTTTCCTGTTTTCAGTGTTGCACTACGTGTAGCTGTTTGGTGTTTGGGGCTCGCTAAATTGATTTAATTTCTCTGTACTAGGATATCTCTGAGTTATTGTAGCACATAAGCGCGCTAAAACACACATTTTCTGTTGTTCTACCTAGCTTTTAGGGAACCATTTGAGTTCGCACGCAGTTTATTTGGTGTTGAACAGTTTGCTCGTCCAGTTAGCTTAGCCTCAGCACGGCTATGGCTACTTCTGTCTCTGCTTCTCCGTATCTCTTTGTCTCTGTGTCAGATGTTTAGTTACTCCTCTGCCTCCTTTAGCGATAATGGTACGTGTAATAATTGTAGCACTTTTGTAGCTTTGGAGGCGAGGGTGTCGGAATTGGAGTCCCAGCTCTGCGCTGTTGAAAAACCCGTAAACAGCCGTAGCTACTTAGCTAGCGCGGGGCTAACTAGCTCAGAACCGCCCCATAGCGATCCTCCAACAGAACCCGAGCAGCCGGGACCTCAGGCCGGCTGGGTGACGGTACGCAGGAAGCATAGAACTCAGCCCGTGGGCCACCACCAACCCGTCCACGTTTCTGATAGATTCTCCCCGCTCAGTGACGCATCCACTGACAAGCCGACTCTGATCATTGGCAGCTCCATAGTCAGAAACGTGGCATTAGAGACTCCAGCAACCATAGTTAAATGTTTACCTGGGGCCAGAGCGGGCGACATTAAATCTTACCTGAAACTGCTGGCTAAGGATAAGCGTAAATACAGTAAGATTGTTATTCATGCTGGCGGTAACGACACCCGGTTACGCCAATCGGAGGTCACTAAAATTAATGTTGCTTCGGTGTGTAAGTTTGCCAAAACAATGTCGGACTCCGTAATTTTCTCTGGCCCCCTGCCTGATCGGACCAGTGACGACATGTTTAGCTGCATGCTGTCCTTCAACCGCTGGCTGTCTAGGTGGTGTCCTGAAAACAACGTGGGCTACATTGATAATTGGAAAATTTTTTGGGGACAACCTGGTCTGATGCGGAGAGACGGCATCCATCCCTCTTTGGATGGAGAAGCTCTTCTTTCTAGGAACATGGCCAGTTTTATTAGTCCTCCATGAAAATCCAGGGTCCAGACCAGGAAGCAGAGTCGTAGTTTAACACACCCCTCTGCAGCTTCTGTACTGTTACCCACCCACTACCCCATAGAGACAGTGTCCTGCCCACGGCCAAAATCACGCAGATTAAATATCAGGCTTAATAAAGCAAATCATGGAAATCTCATAAATATTAGAACAAATTCAACTGAGCAGAAAACTAGAAAACTTTAATGTGGGTTGTTGAACATTAGATCCATTTTTTCTAAGACTTTGTTAGTTAATGACTTGATTTGTGATAATCAGATCTTTTTGCTCTCTCTCACAGAATCCTGGCTGCAGCAAGAGGACTTGTTAGCTTAAACCAGTCGACTCCTTCAAATTATTTAAATCATCATATTGCTCGAAGTACAGGGCGAGGAGGAGGAGTAGCAACCATTTTTCATTTGGACTTATTAATCAGTCCTTTACCAATTAATAACTACAGTTCGTTCGAACATCTTACTGTTAGTTTTCCTAATCCAGATTGCAAAACTGTAAAACCACTCTTGTTTGTAGTTTTATATCGTCCACCAGGCCCTTACTCTGAGTTTTTGGGTCAGATCTCTGATTTTTTATCTGATTTGGTGCTAAATACTGATAGGGTAATTGTAGTGGGGGATTTTAATATTCATGTGGACATTGAAAATGATAGCCTCAATGTAGTCTTTAGTAATATCTTAGACTCAATTGGTTTTACTCAAAGAATACATAGCTCCACCCACTCCTGCCATCATACACTAGACCTTGTGCTGACTTATGGCATAGAGTGTGAGGAAATAACGATCTTTCTACATAATCCAGTCCTCTCGGACCACTTTCTGATAACCTATGAGTTTTTTCTAACTGAGTTCTCGAGACATGAAAGTAAATTGCACTATAGTCGGTCTCTATCTGACAACGCAGTTGCATCTTTTAAATCAACTGTTCCATCTTTACTGTCCTCAGCATCTCAGAGGCATGTAGCAGAGGGCAATATTTTCAGTTCTAGCTCCTCACAAATTGATGCCTTAGTTCATCATATTAATTCCTCTTTACGTGTGGCCTTAGATGATGTTGCCCCTGTAAAAAAGAAGGCAATTAGGGACAGGAAGTTGGCTCCCTGGTTTAATTCTCATTTACGAGCCTTAAAACAAAACTAGGAAATTGTAGAGAACATGGCGCTCTACGCATCATGAGGAGGCCTACCTATCCTGGAAAAATAGTCTTGTGCTTTATAAAAATAAGCTTTGACAAACTAGAACTGCTTATTTCTCAGCATTAATTGAGGAGAATAAGCATAATCCTACATTTCTTTTCAGTACAGTTGCTAAACTTACACAGAATCATAGCTCTGAGCCATCTATTCCCTTAGCTCTCAGCAGCAATGACTTCATGGGATTTTTTACAAGTAAAATTAATTCTATTAGAAACAAAATCTTTAGCATCCTCCCTAGTGCGATTTCTTCTTCCTCAGTAAGTGAGGCAGCATCAGAGGTGACTGTAGAACCTCGTCTGTGCTTGAACCGTTTTGATCCAGTTGAGCTTTCAGATTTATCAAAAATATTAGCTTCATCTAAACCTTCCACTTGCATTTTGGATCCAATCCCAACCAAATTATTTAAAGAAGCATTTCCTTTGGTTACTGCCCCCATTCTAGATATAATCAATCTATCCTTAGTAAATGGATATGTACCACAGGATTTTAAAGTTGCTGTAATCAAACCTTCACTTAAGAAGCCTTCAATGGATCCAGATGACCCAATGAATTATAGACCAATATCTAACCTTCCATTTTTATCCAAAGTCCTGGAGAAAATAGTGGCCATCCAAGTATGTCAGCATTTAAACACTAATGCTCTGTTTGAGGAATTTCAGTCTGGTTTTAGAGAGTATCACAGCACTGAAACTGTGTTACTGAGAGTTACAAATGATATTCTCATGGCCTCAGATAAGAATCTTGTGTCTGTTCTAGTCTTGTTAGATCTCAGTGCTGCCTTTGACACAGTTGATCACAATGTTCTTTTAGAAAGACTTGAACATGTTGTAGGGATCAAAGGAACAGCGCTAGGCTGGTTTAAATCCTACCTGTCTGACAGATTTCATTTTGTAAATGTACATGACAAATCGTCTTCATACTCCAGGGTTACTTGTGGAGTACCACAGGGTTCAGTGCTTGGACCAATTCTTTTAAATATATATATATTCTCACAATTGATAAAATCATTAGACAGCATGGGATAAACTTCCACTGTTTTGCTGATGATACTCAGTTATATCTATCCATTAACCCTGATGAACCTAATTGTTAGTTAGATTACAGGCTTGTCTTGAGGACATAAAAAATTGGATGACTCTAAACTTTTTGCTTTTAAATCAAGATAAGACGGAAGTTCTCATCTTTGGACCAGAAATCCAGAAAAGGAAATTGCTTAGTCAATCACCTGACCTGAATGGCATTACATTAATCTCCGAGAACAAAGTAAAGAACCTTGGTGTTATCTTTGACCATGACATGGCATTCAAATCCCAGGTTAAACAGGTTTGTAGGATTTCCTTTTTCCACCTTCGGAATATTGCTAAGATTAGAAGCATCCTTTCCAGGAGTGATGCTGAAAAACTAGTTCATGCATTTATTACATCAAGACTAGATTACTGTAATTCATTACTCTCAGGAGGTCCACAGAATGTAGTTAAAAGTCTTCAGCTTGTCCAAAATGCTGCAGCTAGAGTTCTGATGAGAATAAAATAGAGAGATCATATCTCTTCTGTCTTAGCTTCCCTACATTGGCTACCTGTTAAATTCATAATAGATTTTAAGATCCTTCTTCTAACATATTAATCTCTTAATAATCAAGCTCCATCATACATTAGTGATCTGATTGTTCCATACATTCCTAACCGAGCACTTCATTCTCAGACTGCAGGTTTACTGGAGGTTCCCAGAATATCTAAAATTAGGATGGGAGGCAGATCTTTTAGTTATCAGGCTCCTCTCCTGTGGAACCAGCTCCCAGCTTTAGTCCGTGAGGCAGACACCTTGTCTAATTTTAAGACTAGGCTTAAAACATTTTTATTTGATAGGGCCTATGGTTAAAATCTGATGTTAGCCTAAATCTGGACAAGTGGGGGAGTAGAGGGAGGTGGAGTGTACAGTCGGTAAAGATGGCTCTCCCTTGCCCTGCCTCCAACATGCCTCCATCTAAATAGGATAGATTAGCCAGAGTTATTTCTGTAGTTATGCTGCTATAGGCTTAGACTGCTGGAAGATACACTGACCACTTTTCACACTCTACTACTTTCTTCTACAATCTGCTCTTTAACTGTATTATTTTCTGCAATTTCAGCTGTTAACTTTCTTTTCTCTCTAAGTGTTTTTCTCCCCAGAAGAAGCTACAGTGATGTTCTGCTGAGCTGTGGTGGCCTAATGGAGGGGGCCATCGTCTAGCACACTGCTGCTAACCACTTAAACATTCTCCCTCTCCTGATAATAACTTTTTGCTTTCCTTGACGCTGGATGTGCTACTACTAGTTTATCCGTTTAATTATAGATCCACTAGGATAAATACAATAAAGTTTATCTCTCACCAAATAGACTATTTATTAAGAAATCACAATATAACTATAGACACATTACTTTGTCTTGTGTGTGTGTGTGTGTGTGTGTGTGTGTGTGTGTGTGTGTGTGTGTGTGTGTGTGTGTGTGTGTGTGTGTGTGTTTGTGTGTGTGTGTGTGTGTGTGTGTGTGTGTGCGTGCGTGCGTGTGTGTGTGCGTGCGTGCATGCCTGCTCTGTCTTCTCGATCCCCAGTGAGTCGTGGAGGATGGCTGCTTATACTGAGCCAGGATTCTCTGGAGGTTTCTTCCTGTTAAAAGGGAGTTTTCCTCTCCACTGTCGCTTTATGCTTGCTTAGTATGAGGATTGCTGTAAAGTCACTGACACTAGTCAGTGACTTGATGCAATTTGCTGGGTTCCTTATATAGGAAACATTATTTCTGATTGGCTTAATGAACTGACCTGAATTGGAATGTTTATTATGTGAAGTGCCTTGATTTTGTCGTGATTTGGCGCTATATAAATAAAACTGAATTGCATTGAATTGGTCAAGCTTTTGGTCAGAGGCCTTCATCAAGAATTGTGAATTGTGAATCAAAATTCCTGATGAAGGTCTCTGACCGAAAGCTTGACCAATAAACTCCTACATCGCAGATTGAAGTGTGCGGATTCTTATTTTGTTTATTCCACTTTTTGATCCAGGACCTTTCCCAGATGAGCGGTGACTCCTTCTCTATTTGAGCCTCTGCATACTAAAATTCACCAGAGAGCTGACTAGTCTGCTACTGACACATTCCTGCAGGGGCTGATTACATAAAAGACTCACATCTCTCTCTGTTCACACCTAGAGCTCAGATCTTTCTCGGATTAATAACCCCTTGTGCTTTAGATCCCATTGACATAGTCAAGGACTACATCGCTCCTCATGAATACCTGGTGGAAGAAGACCCTAAAATGTACCAGTCAGTCAAAACAAAGCGGGGTCCGCTGACAGAGGACTGGATTGAAGAGATCAACCAGGACCCCGGCCAGTGTGTTGTCATGTGTGCTTACAAACTCTGCAAAGTGGAGTTCAGATACTGGGGCATGCAATCCAAGATTGAACGCTTCATACACGATGTGGGTAGGTATTACAGCCTCTTCAGTGAGGCTCCTTATAAAAAGTAATCTGGTGTTTTTGTGAAAAATAACTTGAATCAGTAAATGCCTTAAAAAAGTTTAAAAAACATGAGTTGCAACATAGAAACACGTTAAAGGTGCAATATGTAAGACTGAAGTTAAAATGACATCCAAATTTGGTTACTGCAGCCCGGTTTTCCAAGCAAAAAGTCACTCTCTCTGCCGCTCCATGGGTTTCATGGCTGTTGCCAGTTACAAATGACAAGCAAAGACGAGTCACACACAGTCATTTGATAAGTAGATAAACACAATGTCATATCTGGTGTTAGCACTCTAAGGTGATTTACAGTAGGGACCACTTACTACACGTATTACGGTAATATTTCTCCAGCATTGATGAATGATAAATGACCTTCACTTGTATAGCTCAGAGTAAGTACTCCAAAGTGCTTTACACTACAGTGTATCATTCATCCATTCACACACACATTCACACACTGATGGTGATGAGCTACGATGTAGCCATAGCTGCCCTGGGGCGCACTGACAGAGGCGAGGCTGCCTAGCACAGGCGCCACCGGTCCCTCCGACCACCACCAGCAGGGAAGGTGGGTTAAGTGTATTGCCCAAGGACACAGCAGCAGAATTCTCTGTCCGGAGCCGGGATCAAACCTGCAACCTTCCGATTACTGGACAACCCGCTCAACCTATTGAGCTACTGCTGCCCCCATTACAGGAAGTGTAGTTGTTTGCCATCTCGCTGTTAGCTTGCTGCTGCAGTTCTGATCGACTTATTAAAGGAAGTAAAACGCCACACACTTCACTTCACCTCTTAGGCGTGGCGCGGCGCGGCGCTGGACTATCTGCCATGGTGCAGCGCCTATGTAGGGGTAACAGTGAGACTCGGTGATTGTTTCACTGTAGAATTACATACTGCTCCTTTAAATAGTCATATTTCCATTTAGACTCACGTTGGGCTGAAGTTATTTATCGGCCTAAGTCGTGTGTAATATGGTCGCTACCTCTGGTGTAGATTTCTCACAAATAGCTTCAACCCTATAAAACAAAATGCACCATATTTCATATGAACTCTAAATCAGTCCTCATAACATGTTTGCTGAGATCAGAATCTAAAGGTGGGAATTCATTTTTTAAATCATATTTGCCTTGATATTTATTTAGCCATACATTTAAAAGATTAACTTTATTTTATGAATCATGATTCAGTTTGCCATTTAGCCGAACTTTGATTGCAGTTTGTTCTCATCTGCTTCTAATCGCGTTTTTCGCTTTTAACTGTCTGTGGTTTTAACCCATTGAAGATAACTAGAGAAGTGTTCCCCGTGTGGTCTAGATGGGTTCCTCGGGTGTTCTGAGTGCCAGATGTTCTTAGCGAGTGCAGAGATTTCACCTGCAGATGTTTTTAGACATATTCAAATCATGACACTAATGTCTTGTTACTAACAAAAGAAAATGAAGAACAAAGATTATGAGACATTTTAGAAAATCCGTCTTCAATGCTGTTAGGATGTTTGTTTCCAGCTGTTGAAGCTCAGTAAGATTATGAATTATGGATTACCATTAAGAAGAAAAAAAAACATTGATTGGTTTATGGTTGTTATTGAGTCATGTTATTTTATTTTCAAATTGTTGTTAAAAAAATAGTATTTCACCCAAAAATTCAAATGTTTTTGATTAAAAAAATAATGTGGCTATATAGATAACAATCTGGTAAATAATTTTAAAGACAAAAATACAAATACTACAGAATTCTACAAGCATTGTTGAAAAGATGGATTATTATAGTAATACATACTCATAATCACCCTTTCTGAGATTATTTCTGTTGCTGTTTTTCAGAATCTCTTTTCAAACACTAAATATGTCAAAAAGTACTGAGGGTGTGTTCAAGTGTATTTATACTACAGTAAAACTCGGCTAACAGAGGTAACCCTGAACGAGCAACATAAACCTCAGGATACTTGGCATTTGTAGATGCAGACAGAAAACTGTTTATCAGTATAACAGCAGAGCAGCAGCTGAATAAAACATCTGTCTCTGGAGCAGATAGTGGAAAAGTAATGAAGAAGGTTTCAGTGAAATCAGAGGAGAAATAAGTGGAAGCAAGCAGATAAAATGCTAAAGTTACCTTAGTGAGGAGGTGCAGAAGGCAGGATCCTAGAGAGACGCCTGGTTCTCGGAGATAACGGAGCACACTGGATTAATTTCCTGCCAGCATTGGAATGCTTCTGTTTTATTACTGTGATCTGACGTTGTTTATACGCTCACACAGACTTCCGCTCGCTCCATCAAAGGGTTTACTTCCAGGCTAACAAATAAGCAGCAGCTCAGCCTTCCTGATATTTTCACTTGGCCCTTTAATAATTTACGCATCTACACAAAAAATGGGTTTTAGGAGTTGCTTTGCTCAGAGATTTGTTTCATCAAACAAACAACCAAACAAACAAACAATCAACAAATCAACCAAACAACCAATGAACAAACCAACCAATAAACCGACCGACCGACAGATGGACAGGCAGACACACAGGCAGACAGACAGGCGGACAGACGGACAGACAGACAGACCTTACTTGTATAGCACATTTGAAAACAATGAAGGACTGACCAAAGTGCTGATTCTGAACAATGTTCCAAAACAACAACAATAAAACAATTAATAAAAAAAACAGCGATCACAATATCAAACCAAATAAATAACAGAGCAGCGGCTGCTCGTCCATGACGACGTTGCTTTTCCTTCATTTAGCCTGGACATCAATCTCAGACTAGCAGTGTCCATAAAACATTTCCCGTATTTTTATTGTTCTATCTATGCTTTGTGTAGATGTTAATTGTACCATGTATTGTTTTTATGTTCAGTGCATTTTAATTTTCAGTGATAGTGAAAATTAGTTTGAGAAACAGAAAAACAGAGATGTTGGTTAGATAAAAGCAACACAGATGTTCTTCCTCACTAAAACAAACAAACCTCTGGTGGCTTTATCATTGCAGGTCTTCGTAAGGTGATGGTTCGAGCTCACCGGCAGGCTTGGTGCTGGCAGGATGAGTGGTATGGTTTGACCATTGAGGACATCCGGCTGCTGGAGCTGGAAACCCAGCTAGCTTTAGCCAAGAAGATGGCCCAGTACAGCCAAAATGAGGAAGGGGGCGAGACCAACAGCTCCTCTGTTAGCCAGGACCAGGACCAGGGAGGAGAGACCACAGGTTCGGCCACAGAAGCTGATGGGGGCAAGCTTGGAGATTCTCTGGAGACACGGGGTGAGCTCACCAAGCAGTGGTCGACCTCATCCAGATCGTCCAACAGGTCATCGAAGAGGGGAAGTGAGTAGACTTTCGTTTAAACAGGACGCTTTCAATAACTTGGATGTTTTTCTTCATTGCAGTTTGGGCTGCTATCTAAAGATAAGTGGTTCAACATCCAATGACCTTTCTGTCTGCAGCGAGTCCTTCTCACCAGAGCATCTCAGAGTGGAGGATGCAGAGCATCGCCCGAGACTCAGACGACAGCACGGATGACGAGTTCTTTGATGCTCACGGTAAAAGCCGTCAACATAGAAATCACTAAAGAAATACATTAAAAAAGCATTATTCTGTAGTTTTATACACATTCACACACACCGGCAGTGTGTGAGTGCAAGAATAATGGAAAGGGCTTTGTGTGCCTTAAAAAGTACTATATAGATCTTATCAATTATCTTACACACATATGTAAAAAGTATATGTGTGTGTGTGTGTGTTTTAGTTGATAAATAATTTATCACTATTTGTTTCCCTGAAGGTTTTGAATTTTAAACAATAAAGGCATCTAAAATAACATAAACGTGACAACTTTGAGGCCCCTGAAGATAGAAAATCATTAATTTCCAGAAAAGTTTTTAAAGGTTTCAGGTTTAATAACTCAATGAGAAAAATTAACCATGAGCTGCCTCTTCAGTCGGAGCAGTAAAGATGCGTATCAGGACATGTTTAAGCCGTTTTCTGTGTTTTCAGAGGAATTTTCTGATAATGAGGAGATGTTCTCCAAGGAAATCAGCAAGTGGAGCTCCAATGATTTGATGGATAAAATAGAAACCAGCGAAGTGGATGAAGCACAAGGTCAGTGACCAGCAAAGAGTTGCATTTACTTTCTCTTTAGAATCTTCTTCAGCATGTTTTGAGTTAGGAAAATTCTTGTGTGAATAAAATTTTAAGTAAGTTTAAATATATTGGGACAGCAGGAGCTCAGGAGGTAGAGCAGGTTGTCCAGTGATCGGAGGGTTGCAGGTTTGACTCTGGTTCCGACCAGAGAATGCTGCTGTTGTGTCCTTGGGCAAGACACTTGACCCGCCTTGCCTGCTGGTGATGGTCGGAGGAGCTGGTGGCGCCTGTCTACGTGCCTGTCTAAGTGCGCCCCAGGACAACTGTGGCTACATCACAGCTCATCACCAGCGTGTGAACGGGTGAATGACTGATTGTGTTGTAAAGCGCCTTGGGGGGTTGTAGAATCCTAAGAAGGCGCTATAAAAATAGAGGCCATTTATATTCTAGCTGATATTAGCATTAATGTTGTAAGTTGTAAAAAATTGAAAAGGAGGGATTTCCACATGTATTTGATCCTCCTTCTGTTCACAAGGAAACTTGTACTGAAAATGAATCAGAGAAAACTCAAGAGAAATTTCTTTTTTCTACTTGATTGTAGTTCAGTTCATCTTAATTTCAACGTGTCTGAGCTGATTTCTTTGTTTTTTACAGAAACCTACCAAGAGTCGAGCAGGGAGTATAATGTTATGAGCAACGATGAATCACAGATGGAGGTACACTTTCTTTTTTTTCTGTTTAAGGTACATTAGGAGGTGATTTTTTGAAGCATTTTGCATTATTCATCAAAATTCTCTTCACATGCTGAGGACAACCAGTAAAATAAATGTTGGGTCAACAAATGAATCATTTTAATCGCCTCTGGCATATCCAGTCCCAGAAAAACCTAATTCAATCACTGTGAACGTCCCATATTTAATAAATGGATCCTGATCCCTGGTACCTGATGATTGGATATCTTCTCAGTAGCCTAGTGGTACGAGTGTCTGTCCTGAGACCAGGGGTGTTTCTCAATGCCAAGGCGCCTGGCCTTGCGAGGCGATGTCTTGCGAGGCCAGGCGCCTTGCTTATGAGGACACTGTCCTTCCTTGGTCAAAGAAAACTGTTGAATGGAACAGACTTGCATCACATGACTGCACCTTCCACGGCGGTCACGTAACGTCACGTGACAAGGGAGACAACGTTATATTTTATATGTATTAGTTTCAATATATAGCAAGTTACTACTTGCTAGCCACCAAAGCTGCAACTAATAGGCAACTAACCAACCATAGATAACTTCTTTGGATCTAAAAAACAATTTTTAATTAGTTGACTTACTTTTAAACTTCAAATTTTTCCCCGAAGTAGCTGCTGGCTTCTGATCCGCTGTCTTTTTAAAAATATCGCGGTGTATTGTGGGTCATTTTTGACCAAGGCTAGGCTACAAGACACCTACCCATGTATCCACGCTCAGCTAGCTAAACGGCTTTCAAACAGAGAACACACGCCTCGGTAGAACATGAACATTGGAACACGTCTTGGCGGTTCCTGATGATGTATCACCTAGGCAGCCGGGGCGGGGCAAATCAAATCAAACATTAAGGCAAGGTTCCTTGGCATTGAGAAACACCCTCAGGTTCAAATCCACGGTTGGGTCATACCAAAGCCACTGCTGCAGCTCACCGCTCCCCACGAGGATGGGTCAAGGCAGTGATGTAATTTCACCAGTGTGTGATGATGACTAATGGGACTTTGACTTGAATCATCCATCAAACTACCCTCTGACCATCCCTCCCCTCCCTGCATAGACCCATCTGTCTGTACAGCTTGGAGCAGCTGAACAGGAAATGAAGCTAGAGCAGGGCTGGATAATGCAACAGATGGAATGTTCCATTCTGTATGCAAATTTAATTAAAAGTGTTGTTTTACACGTTCTGTTTAGAGTCGGGTTCTGTTCATGTTGGGAAACATGACGGACCTGTTGTCTGTGGACACAGCCTGTCCTCTGTCGGCTGGCAGAGCTGTGCATCTAATGCCTGCATGTATTGCGAGCCAGCAGAGAGCAGAGCAGGAGGTTCGAGTCGGAGTCGGGAAGCTCTGCCCTTTAGTTTGTGGGGTTTTCCCAGATTGTTGTGTTGCTGAGCTACTGTGATTTTGAAGTAAAGAATAAACCAGCCTTGTTTTTTATAATAACACCAGACTATAACAGCTAGCATACTAAGTAGTTATATGGATATGTGGATAGGCTACTTAAGGAATTACGGCAGAAAAGGTGCCAACAATGGGTCAAAGAGGTAAAACTGAACCTTCAGAAGCATGAATTTATCTCTCATGTCTCGTGTTTTTCCTTGAAAAGGCGAGAGCTTCACTCCATCAGATTTCTAAGTGTGGCTACCTGAGCATGAAAAAACTGCATGTAGGAGGACACAGTCCTCAATTTACTCCGATGCACGCACTCTACTTTTCCAACAAATGGAGACCTCAAGAGGAAAAAAACCTGCAATGAAACATGTTATTTCTGTCATTCCTCTTAGGACCACTTTTCTGGGGCCTAACTCCAACTCCAGGGATACACAAAGATAAACACCCACCCGCTCACACCTTAGGACTATTTAACATTTCCAGTCTGAGGGAGGCAACTGGAGAAAATGCACACATGCATGCATAAGTATAACATTCTAAGTCCATGCAGAAAGGCTGCAGCCAGGATTCAAACCTGCAACCTCGCTGCTACCAACTGCTCCACCGTGCAGCTTTGTGCTTTCTGTCATTTACTAAATTCTGTCATGCATCAAATATTACTGCATTTCACATTATTAGTCAGTCAGAAAGAACAAAATTAATTTGAGAGCCTTTGATGATGTTTCTGCTTCTTATATTTCAGACATATGTTTACTTCTATAACTTCAGTAGAAGACTGCTATTTCAGTGTTTACCTGCCATAAAACTCTCGTTTGCAATAACTTCCTCGTGTCTCCCGTTGTCTGCAGGACTGTTTACCCCAGCAGTGTCCACAGTCGTCCAAGATCCACGTCCTCATTCTGGTCCTGCATGGTGGGAACATACTGGACACAGGCTCTGGTAAATGTTTATGAAAAAATGTATCCTTTTATGCAAAACTATTTTAATAGATATTTTTTCTCCTGTAATAATAGCAAATCAGGTAAAAACAGCAAATATAAAATTCTGAAATTTGAGATTCTGGGAATGTTTACATGAAAACATCAATCTGTAGAAGAGCAGGTAGAGCCAAATCGTTCCCTAGCTTTTATACTCAAGACCAAAAAAATTCTAAAAAAAAATCTAAAAATTATTAAAAACCTTTTATTTTTATTTACATTTTTTGCCCCAAATAAAAAAATACAAAAAAGACATTGTCATTGATTTCTTATTGGTTTGAAAATGCATTGTGAAATCAAACTAGTAAAGACAAATGCCATAATAATAATCTTTAAATCATTTGTTTTCACTTTAAGCTACATTTTTATAAGTGCTTTCTGTCAGTAAATAATGAATGCACATGTATGAAAATGCATCAAATGTGAAATACTAAGAAATGATTAAAAAAGATGATTTTTTACATTAAAGTTATGACATCTTGCTGGAAGCTGCTTTGTTGACTTTATTATTAAGAAAATAATTAGTTTAAAGGGAACATATTATGACTCTTTCTTATGTTATAATAGTTTTATGGTTGATACAAAAAAATAAGTTTATGAAGTTCTTTGCACAAAATCTCTCCCACAACAGGATAAAAAAGGGGAATTTTGCTTAATTTCTCCCCTTAAAGCAGAGGCAGAAAGAAGTTATTAAATATGTCTGCGTCTCCGTGTTCAGCTACATTAAATAAAAAGCTCATGTTTGTGTGTAGGTGATCAGAACAGCAAGCAGGGAGACGTGAACACGCTTAGTGGGGCTTTTGAGACCGTGATGAGGGTCCATTATCCTGCTGCTCTGGGCCACGTTGCCATCCGCATGGTTCCCTGTCCAGCTGTGTGTGTCGATGCTTTCTCACTCGTCTCAAAGTGAGTGAACATTTAAGCAGCCTGCTGTAACACACACACAGACACACACACACACACCACCCGCTGTCCAGACATTAAAACACACTCTGTGTTATGCAGTCTGAGTCCTTACAGCTACGATGAAGGCTGTTTGTCCAGCAGTCAGGACCACATCCCACTGGCTGCCCTGCCTCTTCTGGCTACCTCTGCGCCGCAGTACCAAGACGCCGTGGCAACCGTCATCCTACGAGCCAATCAGGTGTACAGTGACTTCATCAAGTCTGCAGAAGGAACATTGTTTAACGGCCAGGTTGGTGAGAAGCATCGGGGAGCATAGATGTTTTTAGATGAAGTAACTTGTAAAAATCATCCATCTTTGCTCTCTAACTCAGGTGTGTGTCATTGGGGACTGTGTTGGAGGTATCCTGGGCTTTGATGCTCTGTGCAGCAGCTCTGTGATGGTGTCAGAAAGCCAAAACAGCAGCAGGCGGGGCAGCGCCATTAGTGTGCAGGTACAACCCACTCTAGCAGCCCGGAGCAGCAGCACACAGCAGAGTGGGGCTTCTAGTGGGATATTGATGATGTGAATAGAAAACAAATACAAAATAATCTCTTAGCATTTATGGTTATAGCAGTGCTTTGACATCTGTCTACTGAACAGCCCCGTTAATTGGTTAATTCACACATGAGAAGAAGTGAAAGCTTTTACAAAAATGCAGTGATGTTACTTCTGTGGTTCATGAAGTTGCATGAGTTTGTGCTGTAACATGACCTAATGAAAACTACCACCAATACAGTTTTATTTGAAATTGTTCTCTAACTGAAGCTATAAGTTCAGTCCCATATAAATGACATTTTGGTTCTGATGGACTTAAACACCATCGACCATTTTAGGTTTGCTGTAACATTTGAAATTTTATTGAACATTGCTTGAATCTCTAAAACCTTTGGTTCAAGGTTCTTTATTTGCCTCGAAACCTACTGCCCAGATTGAACTTACTGTGCAGAGTTCTCGTTGTCAACAGTTAAAGGAAGAAATAAGAAAACAAGACAAAATTCACCTAAAAATATATTTAAAAATTTTCGAAAAGGGAAGAATGCCTAGCCTGGCAAGCCAGACTAAATAAATGTATTAATTAGTCTGGCAACGCTCCATTGACGGCTCTAGGTTGTGGGGCGGGTTCTACCGTTGTCTTTCAAACGATCTCCGCATGCTACTGGACAATGACTGTGACATACTCTTGTTTCACTCTGTTGCATCATCCCACCCACCAGGCATATAGAGTACCCTGATTGGCCCACAAAGCGGATAAAGTTCTGTGATTTGTTCACTAAGCAGATAGAGCACTATGACTGGCCCACCATTATGGACCAATCACAGCTCTTTATGTGTTTGAAACCCCTCTAGAGAGCTGTGATTGGCCAGCCAGAATGCTGTTGGGGCTGCAGAGGTTCCAGTGGAGCATTCCTAGACCAAAGTTTGCAAAGCAAGAATTTGGTCTAGTTCACTAGGCTAAAGAAAGCCTTCTCTGGGTCAGGGATGAGGTCCTGCCCCAAGTGGAGGAGTTTAATTATCTCGGGGTCTTGTTCACGAGTGAGGGAAAACTGGAGCGTGAGATCGATAGGCAGATTGGTGCTGCATCTGCAGTGATGTGGGCGTTGCACCGGTCTGTCGTGGTGAAGAGAGAGCTGAGTCAGAATGCAAAGCTCTCAGTTTACCGGTCGATCTACGTTCCTACCCTCACCTATGGTCACGAGCCCTGGGTCATGGATACAAGCGGCCAGAATGAGTTTTCTCCGCAGAGTGTCTGGGCTCTCCCTTAGAGATAGGGTGAGAAGCTCGGTCATCTGGGAGGGGCTCAGAGTAGACCCGCTGCTCCTCCACATCGAGAGGAGCCAGTTGAGGTTGCTCGGGCATCTGGTCAGCATGCCTCAAGGACACCTCCCTGGTGAGGTTTTCTGGGCACGTCCCACCAGGAGGAGACCTAAAGGTAGACCCAGGACACGGTGGAGGGACTATGTCTCTCACCTGACCAGGGAACGCCTTGGGATTCCCCCGAAGGAGCTGGCCCAAGTGGCTGGGGAGAGGGAAGTCTGGGCCTCTCGACTTAGGCTACTGCCCCCGTGACCCAACTCCGGATAAGCGGATGAAAATGGATGGATGGATGGATGGATGGATGGAGTTCTCTTTGTCAACAGTTAAAGGAAGAAATAAGAAAACAAGATAAAATTCATATAAAACATGTAAAAAACATACAGCTATAAAATATAAAACTAAACATCATAGAAAAAATATTAATAGGTTGTCATATCGTACCTATTTTTCAAGATAGATAATTAAAAGAGATATTCACCCCTAAGAGAAATTGTCTGTTGGCATATTCCCCAATTAGATAAGTAGAAAAAAGCACTTTTTAACTAGTTCAGTCATTCTCCCGATCTGGCCGTATTCCCTTAGCTTTAGCTTAGCATTAACTATGTAGGTGAATGGTAACAGCTAGCCTTTAGTGTGAAAAGCTATGAAAATTGCTCAATAATGATTCTACCTTTTCTTGATGACCTCAATAATCATTTTGTCTGCAGCTGTAAATATAAGTAACACAAAGGAATTACAGGTGCCGAGTTACACTTGGGACTACATTAAGGGAACGCATTGCTAAGCCGCCACTGCAAAGATCCCGCAGTGGCCTCAGAACTCAGTGTTTACAGCCCTTAGGTTTACTGTATAACATTTACAACATGTCACCCGAATGACATTGATGGCGTGTTTTAGGTGACTTTTGGGGCCACTGCATCATCTTCTTGTTACTTGCAGCTGCAGCTTAAAATGGTGTTTTGTCGTAAAGTAGTAATTGTAATTAATTTAATTAATTATTGTTTACATTTACAGTCAATATGATTATTTAGTTGACCAGAAAAAATAGGATCATTATTGTGCATTTTTCATGACTTTTTCGCATTAAATGCTAGTTGTTACCATTCACTTACATTGTTTATGCTAAGCTAAAGCTAACAGAATACTGCCAGATTAGGAGAATGACTGGGTTGGAAACAAAATCTTTTCCCACTGATTTAACTCTGGGGAATATAGAGATGGAATATCCCTTTAAGTGGCTAAATATGTGTGAAAATACTTTAATGTCATATTTAAGGACTAAACTGAACCTAAAGGACTTGATGCAACCTGCTGGTTTGCTGACTGGCTTAATGAGCTGAACTGTATTGAAATGTTAACTTTATGAAGTCCCTTGAGATGACTCTTGTCGTGATTTGGCACTATATAAATAAAGTGAATTGATTTGAATTTAAAAATACCCTCCCTGTTACGTCCCTTTCTGTCCCGAAGGACACGGAGCTTTTGTCTCCTGGTATCATCATAAACAGCATTTCTCCCTCTTCACCATCCCTGGAAGGAAGCCGCCACCTCAGTCGTAGCAACATCGACATCCCTCGCTCCTCTGGGCCTGACGACCCCAAGAAACAACTTCCACGCAAGCGCAGCGACTCCTCCACGTACGAGCTGGACACCATCAAGCACCACCAGGCCTTCCTATCGAGGTAAGACGGAAAGAGAGACGAAATGTGACCAGTCTTGGAAGGATTTCTGCTTGAAGTGTCTTTCATCTCTTTCTTCTTGAGCAGTCTGCACTCCAGCGTCCTCCACGGGGAGCCTGGATCCAGGCGCTCCAGCAGTAGCACTATGTTGGAAGGGGGATCTTTGGGAAAGTTTGACTTTGAGGTGATGGACTTCTTCCTGTTTGGTTCTCCTCTGGGTCTGGTGCTGGCACTGAGGAAGACGGTGGTCCCTTCTTTAGATGGTGAGGAGGGCTTTTATGTTCTTGAGGCAGGAAGACGGTATCAGTGACATTTTCCTGCTAGATCTGAAACCCGAGCAGATGGGAAGCAGGTGTCAGGGGTTAGAGGTCATGTTTCTGATCTCATATGTCGATAAAAAAATCAAACTCTGTTTTGTCCTTTTGGATTTATAAAAATAATTGATTCTTAACTCATTCACTACTAGCCGTTTCGTGATCGCTAAAGCCCTTCGCTGCCAGCGTTTCTCCCCGTTTTTATTGTTTTTTAAGAGTCACAGAAAGCTGCGCGCTAGGATGATGTTGACGCCAAAACAACCAAAACAAAGCAGAGACTCAGCTCTTACATCAGGAAGAATCTGCGTGTTTCCAGTGTTATCCGTTCTTTCATGATCCGTAGTCAGATTCAATTCAGTTCACTTTATTTATCCGTTAGGAACTTCATTTGCAGTCAGGGCATCCGCACAACACATAAAAACATCATCAAAACACACATACACTCAATTTAAAAGACCACTCACATCTACATACACTAAATTAAAGGGATTTAAAAGGAATACGACAATAAAAGATTACTTGTGATCGGCAGACACTTTTCCGGTTCACCCCTCACTTTTTTTTATAGGAACGGCCTCAAAACGATCTCCTAACACATGGATTTTCTGCTTCCTGATCATGTGACGCTTGACGTATGCGGATGAAGATCGGCTTCAGAGCTGAGATGTTTGTTCTCTCGGCGCGGGGGCTCGTTCCGATGCTCAAACAGTAAAAAGATGCAAATGTCGTCATTGGCAGTGAATGAGTTAAATACAGCTGCAGCACAAATAAATGTGTTTTTTAAAATGTTGACTTCTAGTTTCCCAAAGCTGAAGGGTAAACTACATTTTTCACAAGTTCTTTTTTTTTTTCATTTAACTCAGTGGTTCCTGCTCTGGGGTCTAATTCCTGGCAAGTATTCAATCTCAAGGTGATGCGCGTATCTAAAAGTCTAACCTTTATAACACAACTATGTGTAATCACAACAATAACTATGTTTCCATTAGATGTGTTCTAGGAAATTTCTGGGAGTGGGGAAGGTGACAGGGGAAATAGGGAGCTTACGTCACGCCCATCTTCTTCCGGACCATGGGTCCCCGGAAGAACGAAAAATGAATGCAAGTCAATGGGGCCAAAAACGCTATTTTCTAATTCTGCTTGTTATGTGCCATGGATTTCACGTATGATGTCCGTGAATTTTAAAGATGCATTTCGATGAAAAAGGTGCTTATTTTTGAACGGGGCAAAAATTATTTTAGGTTTTGTGCGAAACTACGTCCAGGACTACAATGCTGATCACCAAGTTGACGTCGTTGAACCAGATACGCAGTAAAACAGAGCAAAAATGGCTGCAAGTTCAACTTCGAATCCTTTCTTCAGGAGGAAATAACCACCATAAATCTGGCCATGTGGCAAGTAGCCGCTACGCTAGGAGAGTGGAGATTCCGTAGTGATGATACGCGACAAGCTGAGGTGTGATTTGCAGTCTCAACTTATACAAGCGGATGAATCTCAAACTACATGACTGGCATGGTCGAAACACACGTCATTAATTTTCATTTAAATAGAAGTATAACATACTGGGTGGATGGCTGCTTATCCTGAGCCAGGATCTTCTGGAGGTTTCTTCCTGTTAAAAGGGAGTTTTCCTCTTCACTGTCGCTAAATGCTTGCTTAGTATGAGGATTGCTGTAAAGTCACTGAGACTAGTCAGTGACTTGATGCAATCTGCTGGGTTCCTTATATAGGAAACATTTTTTACTGATTGGCTTAATGGGACTTTACGGAGTTTTGAATTTAATGCTCGCAATTGCCCCCTCAGGCCAAAAGTGTAACGGCAGCTTCAATAGTAGGCTCGTGCACGAGGTGCGCATGCTGTACATGCACACTCCTTAACGAAAATAACAGCTGAGACAGTCCCTTGTGTGTGTGTGTGTGTGTGTGTGTGTGTGTGTGTGTGTGTGTGTGTGTGTGTGTGTGTGCGTGTGCGTGTGCGTGTGCGTGTGCGTGTGCGTGTGTGTGTGTGTGTGTGTGTGTGTGTGTGTGGCCCGGAGGACAGAGGACAGGAGAACACGCAGCTAATTAATTAGATAATTTGGTTCTGTACCTTTCTCTTCAGCAGAGCCGACAAAGGTTTAAGACGGGTCAGTCCTCCTGCATGCTCAGATCATGCCCTTCCCTTGCTTGAAAATTGTTCCAAAATGAAAGTTGAACCCACATCTTTTTTTATCTGTGAATTCAATGCTGTTCGGCGAGTCTCAAATAAAAATTTGGGCATCTTACTGTCAAAAAAATATACCCTTAATGTAAAAAAGAAACTCTAAAACAACTATGTTCACATCCAGAATCAAACCTGGGTCTTCTGCATGTTAGCCCAATGTCTTATTAGGCGAGCTAAAGCTCTACTGACATTCTTTGTATCTGTAACATTTATATCCTTGATGACAGCTGAAACAACGTTCAAAGAACGGTTCGGAGAAGAAGAAATTTATTATTTCTATACATGTTTTGGCTGTCAAACTTCCATAGTGCCCCTTTAATGAACTGACCTGTATTGGAATGTTTACTATGTGAAGTGCCTTGAGACAACTCTTGTTGTGGTTTGGCGCTTTATAAAAAAACTTGAATTGAATTGAACTGAATTGAATTGAATGACGTGTGATCCAGGGCGTAAGGCAAAGTGGATTAGAAAATAGCTGTTTTAGCCCTGTTGACTTGTATTAATTTTTCCTTCTTCCGGAGACCCATGAGCCGACTGGAAAGGGAGAAGACTTAGGGTGTTTCTCAATGTCAAGGCGCCTGGCCTTGCGAGGCGCCTTGCTTACGAGGACATTGTCCTTCCTTGGTCAAAGAAAACGGTTAACTGGAACAGACTTACATCACGTTACGTCACGTGACACAGGATACAACGCTATATTTTATACATAATAGCTTCAATGTAAGTATATAACAAGCCTTTTACATTTTAAATTGCGTATATGTTTAAAAATATAAACCTAACCCTAAAAATATAAGCGAGTTACTACCCACTAGCCACCGAAGCTGCAACTACTAAGCAACTAACCAATCATAGATAACTTCTTTGGATCTAAAAAAAACATTTTAAATTAGTTGACTCACTTTTAAATTAGAAAATCGTCCCTGAAGAAGCTGCCCGCTTCTGATCCTCTGTCCTTTAGAAAGTACTGCGGTGTATTCTGGGTAATTTTTGACCAAGGCTAGGCTACAAGACACCTCTCATGTATCCTCGCTCAGCTAGCTAAACGGCTAACAAACGGAGAACACACGCCTCAGTAGAACATGAACATTGGAACACGTCTTGAAGGCTCCCTATGACGTATCTCCTTGGCAACCAGGGCGGGGCAAAGACATCAAGGCAAGGTTCCTTGGCATTGAGAAACACCCTTAGGCTCCCTATATGCTGACTCTGTCCTCTCAGCCATTGTGTCTCCATACAAAATTGTCCCTTTCAGGACTTTGCTAAGATGTCACCTCTTTGGCAGTGAGTGATGTCACAATCAGTGCCAGAATAGAGATTAATAATATTAAAGATGTTTTACTTTATCATATTGTGCTATAATTTAATTCCATAGGGTGGAGAGCAACTGCCTGTGGTAAAAAGAAGCGTGAACACTGTTTATTATTTCCTTACATTCACCAGCAACGCTTCCAGTTTTACAGACTCTGATCTTTTTGTGATGTCTGCCGAGTTTACCACGATCCAACCAGCGACTAGTGGGCCATTTCGGAGTACAAACCCAGTGCAGACACCCTGTTGGTCCTTTTATTTTAAAATCATTTTTAATTTCAATTAATTCAGAGCAGCTTGAAGAAATGGACACACACACACACACACACACACACGCAGGCACTGTGAAGGTCTGGTAAAAGTACCCGTAGGTTCTGATAGTGGAAACGCTTTCGCTTTATCTAATGAGAATTCTCCTCAAGCAGCCAGATTAGCTTAAATAATTGTTGTATGGTGGCCAGGAACTGCTTGGTGTCTAGTTTTGTATAAATCGGGCATACAGTAGTGGAAAAGTAAAGATTTAGTTACTTGTCCTTACTGACTGAATTGTAATATTAAAGAAAAGCCTCAATTACAAATGGTGGCAGAGGTGGGATGTTTGGCAAATTGACTCTTTTTTATTCTAATTCTTATTTTTTTTCCTACTTTTATTCAATTGCAATATCATTTTTAGTTTGGGGGAAAATTTAGTCCCTAATGTGTTTATTTTTTCAATTTGTTGTTTTTATGTTTGACGTAAACCACTTTGGCTTGTTGTTCCTCCAGTGTCGGCATTGCGTCCAGCCTGTCGGCAAGTTTACAACCTGTTTCACCCAGCCGACCCCTCAGCCTCCCGCCTCGAGCCTCTCCTTGAAAAGAGGTTTCACCTGCTTCCCCCCTTCACTATACCTCGCTACCAGCGCTTCCCTCTCGGGGACGGACACTCAGCTCTGCTGGGTGAGAACTTGGGACTCGTGCAAATCTTTCTAAGCAACGGGACAGGTTTGTTGACTTTTTGAAACACTGTTTTTTTCTGTCTCTGGCTTTTTAGTTGATGCTGTGCAGAGTAACCCTCAGCTTCTGATGGAATCCAGCAGCTCTACGTCCCATCGTGGCCTGGAAAGCGTCATCAGCGAGACCACGATTGCTGTTCCTGTCCTCAGCTCTCAGACCACACAGCTCCATGTTGAGAGTATGTCATCAGTCCTTTGCATTGTTGTTCTGATTAGGAAAAGAAGCTTGTTTCGTGTCATGCTGTAGGTTTGCGGTGATAAATGTCTCTCTCTGGTGTCTCCACAGCCGATTCACTTCAGTCACATATTATTGTCGACGGCCAGTGCCCAGCGTCCACATCCCCAGGTGTTCCCCATCTTCGCTGCAGCCGCAGAGCCAGTGAGGCCAGCATAGCCAGCCAAGCGTCGGGCTTAGCCGATTCCTACACGGCTACTAACATTGCCACGAGTAAGATGACCTTTGACCTCCTCAGACTGAATCCAATTTCCGTCTTCAAAAAGACAGTTTACATGTTTACTTTTGCTTCCTCCTTCCAAATGGCTCATCTTCAGTGAGCAAACAGGAAGTCAGCCCCGTTAAGAGGCCCAGGTTGCGGTCGCACCTATCGCTGCCGTACAATAGATTTACCTGTCGGAGTCCAAACATCCGCTCATGCAACAAAACCCATCAGCTGTTCCCAAGAACCAACGGTGTGGAGTCTGAGCAGAGCTCAGACATAAGCTCTGACATGACCTCTGACCTCTCTGATGTCATGTCTGGCATCACAGATATCAGCTCAGTGCCCCTGTTGCCTGGGTTGCTGAAGAACGTAGCGCAAGGTACCCTGGGAGTTGTAGTAGGAGGATGTGAGTGAGGGATGCCAGGGTCCTCATTCCCCGTGCTCTCCATCGTCCTGTGGCAATAGTCTTTAGTCTCGTTGAAGGTCTCGTTCACTGAGAATCCGTTTAACACTAAATCTTTATACAAATGGTCACTCTGAGTTTCACATGCGTGCTGGAAGTGAAACATTTCTTCTACCCCATCGCCTGCATTGGCTGCAGCAAGGAAATAGAATTGCATATTGCGTGAAAATTGCATGTCATGACTTTTAAGTAATGCTTGTAATCATGTCATTTTCTGCCTCCCCACATTCCTGTGACTAACTTCTAATCCAGGAGTGCTCAATTCCTGGAGGGCCGCTACCCAGCACGTTCTAGTTTTAACTCTGTTTCAACACACCTGATTTCAATCAGCAGGTGATTAACAGGCTGATGAGCTGCTGCACAGGTGATTCAGCCCCTGAATCAAGTGTGTTGGAGTAGAGAAACCACTAAAACGTGCTGGAACCGGACCCCTGGCCCGGAATTGAATACTCCAGTTCTAATTCTTTAAACAGGAGCGCCAGAGCTTGTTTTCCACAGAAATAGACTCACAAGGCATTCATTCACACTAGGGACCAAAGTATTGAAACAACATGTGAATGAGACCTTTTAAAAAGCTGTAAAGAGAACCCATCTAGTAAAACAATTTAAATTCAGTCATGTGACCCAAACCCTTAAAGAATATGTGCACTTCTGTCTTAGGGATCGATCAGTTGTCTGTTTGTCTTCAAACCTGTATGCAACTTGTTGTTAGAGGAGAGGCATTCAGTTCTGGGCCAGTGTCCAGCATGGTTTAGTTTCAGCACACCTGATTTCAATCAGTAGGTAATGAACAAGCTTCTGCCTGATCAGCTGCTGCACAGGTGATTCAACCACTGAATCAAGTGCGTTGGTGATGAGAAACCACTAAAACGTGCTGGAAACCGGCCCTCCAGGCCCAGAATTGAAGACGCCTGCATTAGAAGCATCCTAGTCCAAGTCCTGCTGTGCTTTTGATCCGCAGTCATTCCACAACAAGTGCCTGATGATGTGTCCTTTCTCTTCCTCCCTGTTAAAGTTGCATCTCGCTGGTGGGGTAGTAAGAGGGTGGACTTTGCCCTGTACTGTCCTGATGCTCTGACGGCGTTTCCCACAGTGGCCCTGCCTCACCTCTTCCATGCCTCTTACTGGGAGTCCACAGATGTTGTTTCGTTCCTACTCAGACAGGTTTGTTGGTTAAACTCTCACTAGTGAAGTTTTCTTCTTAACTGCCGTCGACGAGACCTTTCCAGCTGATTTCTAGCTAACAGCAGAAATGGGGAAAGCTAATTTTGTAGATTCTTGGCAGAAAGAAAAAGTTCAAGAGCTCGATTAAAAGTCTGATTGACAGAAAAGCAAATGAACTTCAACAAGCATGACCAAATGTTTTTATTTATTTATGCTATCCTGTTCATAAGCAAGGACTTTTCACTAAATTAAATGGCTTGACGTAATTGCCACAATATCCAGTAGATTTAATAATAATTTCATTTAAACACATTTAATTGAAAATGCCTTTGGTGAAATTTTCAAATACAAAACAGATTTATTTCAATTTGAATCACAAATATGAGTGTTTAATAGTTACAGATGTGCAGCAATGAAGACCTGATATTTGTAGAAGGTCCTAAAAAGTCTTGAAAATGTATTTTGTTATAACTTTTTGTTTCTACGATGACAGCACAGCTGAAGGTATTCAACTAAAACTGCTGTCTGGAGTTTTCCCCTTTCAGGAATTATGTAGGATTTTTCAGAATTCCAAAGTGATTGTCACATCTATGATATAATGTAGGAAATACGTTTTTTTTTTTTTTTTTTTGCAAAGCCCTCACCCTGTCCCGTAGAGCTACATTCAATATGAAATGAGCGCCAGTCAGTACTAACCAATAGCGTTAGACTACTGCTTACGTACAGACATCAAGCACAGGGCGTTTGAGTGTCCCTCGGCTGATGCAAGTTGGCAACCTTTCTCATGGGCAAATAAGTCTTTAAATTATAAATGTATGAAAACCAGGGATGCACCGATACTGGAATCGGTATCGGTGTCGATGCCAATACCGATTCCAGTATCAGTATTGGTAAAAGTTAACCGATACCAATGCAGTTGCTTGAAAATGGCTTCACTGTAACTTGTCATTTCTGTTCACATAATATTTCAGTTTTGTGATGATTTCTATTCATATATTTTACTTTTTATCTACCTCACAGTCTTTTCCTGTTGAAAGCAGAGAAGAAAGTAAAATCTATATTCCAAATCATTGCATTTTTTTGTGCGGTAGAAGTATTGGTAATCGGTATCGGCGAGTACTCAGGTCCAAGTATCGGTATCGCATCGGTTTGGAAAAAAAGGGGTATCGTTGCATCCCTAATGAAAACATCACACAACATGAGCTTAATAATAAAGAAACGGTGTGCTTTAGCTCTGTTTTGTCGGTTAGAGAAACGCGTTCATGAATGAGAGGCGTTGCTTTCGGCCGCAAATATGTAAATGAAAGTAGGTCAACATGTGATATGCTTGTCAGCCACTAGATGGTGCCATCAGATAAAAAATAATCTGGGCAGTGGCTTTAAACAGTTTATGTTGCAAGAAATCCTTCCTCTAGATTTTTTTTAATTTCAAGAGTATTTTCTCTGAATAAGTCCTTTGTTGTCCCCTTCTCTTTGCTTCTCCAGGTAATGAGGCATGAGAACTCCAGCATTTTAGAGCTGGATGGGAAGGAAGTGTCTGAATTCACTCCATCCAAACCTCGGGAGAAGTGGCTTCGCAAGAGGACTCACGTTAAAATTCGAGTAATTTATTTTATGCTTGTGTTGTTTTTACTTTATACTTTAATCTGCTTAAGACCTTTTCTAAAAAGTGATTTCCTGTCCTATTTTACTCAGAATGTAACAGCTAACCACCGAGTGAATGATGCCGTGTTCACGGAGGATGGATTGCAGACAGTAACGGGACGATTCATGTACGGCCCTCTGGACATGGTCACTCTCACTGGAGAGAAGGTACATTTGTGCATCCATTTTCAGCTGCTAATCGGGGTCGGGTCACAGGGGCAGTAGCCTCACCACAGCCAATTGAGCCAGCTCCTCTAGGGGAATCCAAAGGAGTTCCCTGGCCAGCTGAGTGACATTGTCCCTCCAGCGTATCCTGGATCTCCCTGTAGTCTTCAGGCTTCCGGTTGGACATGCCTGGAAAACCTCACCAGGGAGGCGTCCAGGAGGCATTCTAACTAGATGCCCGAGCCACCTTAATGTGGAGGAACAGCGGGTCGATTCTGAGCCCTTCCCGGATGACCGAGCTTCTCACCCTATCTCTAAGGGAGAGCCCAAACACCCTGCGGAGAAAACTAATCTCGGTCGCTTGTATCCGCGATCTCGTTCTTTCGGTCAATCTCGCGCTCCACCTTTCCCTCGCTCATGAACAAGTGTGACAGGGCAAGCATCCTGTCACTGTATCCCGATTGATCATGCGCCCTGGCTACTTGGCCAAGGGGATATCCTTTGGCTGACTGGTTAGCGCGCGTGACTCTCATCCAGGAGTCTGGGGTTCAAATTCCGCCCGGACCCTTAGTTCTCCACCTTGTCACATTTGGCGATGTTGGCAGGATCCATGTAGCACTGTGAAGTAGGTGCATGAATTTGAAATTTGTGGCACCCTGCGTGGGAGCATGAGGACGTGCTTGTGGAAAGAGGGAGGAAGATATGACAAGGTATGCATCCTATCACTGTATCCCGATTGACCATGCACCCTGGCTACTTGGCCAAGGGGATATCCCTTTGGCTGACTGGTTTGCAAGCGTGACTCTCACCCACCCAGGGGTCTGGGGATCGAATCCTGCCCGGGCCCTCGTTTCTCCATCTTGCCACACAAGACCCAGAGATACTTAAACTCCTCCACTTGGGGCAGGACCTCATCCTTGACCCGGAGAAGACATTCTACCCTTTTCCGACTCAAGACCATGATTTCAAATTTAGAAGAGCTGATTCTCATCCCAGCTGCTTCACATTTGGCTGCGAACTGCTCCAGTGGGAGTTGGAGATCAGGTTCAGATGAGGCCAACAGGACCACATCATCTGCAAAAAGCAGATTTCCCTCTTTTTGCAGCTACCATACGTTTGGAAAAAGTGTGGGGAGCTAGGGCTAGTCAGAACGGGAGAACCAAGAACTCGTAAGCTTTCTCTTCAAACTCAAAATGCAGAAACTGTCTGTGACCGACATGAATCCCCACATGGAAGTACACATTCGTGAGATCGGTCATAGCAAACCAATTTCCTGAGCTGACGGCGTTTAGCAGCTGTGTGAGCGTTAGCATCTTGAACTTGTATTTGCGCAAGAACTTGTTTTAGCACACTAAAACAGGAATTAGAATCTAAAATGGGACGAAGCCCTCCCCCTTTCTTTGGAACAACAAAGTAACGGCTGTACCAACCTTTGTTCGTTTCTTCGAGGGGAACTGCTTGAATAGCTCCTTTTGCTAACAGCATTTAAATTTCATCTTTCAACACGACCACTGCTTCTGCTTTCAGCACCAATTAAATAACAGTGGAAAACACGGGCAGTCTGATCCAAAACTGCAATTGGTAATCCATGGCAACCGTGCGTTCGACCCAAGAGGGCACTGCGCATGTGAGTCAGACAGGAAGTTTTGCTGCAAGCTGGCTGCTTGACGCTGTTGTCATGGTGGAGGCGTCACCCTCGAGCGGAGCTGGAGGGCTTGGCATCGTGTTCATGACACACACTTTGGGCTTTTTGTCTGTAAATTGTTGAGAACTGCTTTTCTCCTGCAGAACAAGAGAACGCAGCCTCTTCTGCTTCACTTGAAGCTGTTTGCAGACATTTGTGTTGTGAATTGAACAGTCGGTCGCCGGCAGAGAGGGCTGAAACGGCTTTATTTGACCAATTCTTGGTGTGCTTAGACACATCAGACTGTCTTCATCTTGAGTACAAACTTCAATCTTTATTAAAGTGTTGTGCAAAACTGTGGAACCACTGCAACTTTTTCCCACTTTTGGCAATGAACAGTCTCTTTGGACTGAGGGGGTGAACGGCGACTGAACATAGCCATTGTATCTGCTGTAAACATGGGCTTGGGAGTTAGAGTCAAAGGCCTGAACAGGGCTGGTCCTGACATCAGGACAACTGAGGCTTTTTTACGGCTCACGAAGCCTTTCTGTAAACCAGTAGAAGGGGGGGGGGGGGGGGCCTTTACTCCAAGCTCACTGTTGCTGCAGGTGATGCCATCCTGCAAGGTGGAGGAGGCGGAAGTACTGTGCGTCAGTTGGTACCGGGAGCTTTAGGACCTGCATCACACCTGGGGATGATGGTGTGTAGTGCGGACCCTGCGACAAAACTCACAAGCCTCCAGGTCAGAAAGTGCTCTCCTAGCATGCAGAATTCCCAGGCACACAGGACAGGCTTCGTGCAGGTCCTTCTCATGGAAAGAGAACCCGCAGACCCGAGGACAGGGACGCTAAGTAGGCTTTTGCTTACCTTGTTCCGACACGGTGGTTATGGTGAGACACAGAGTGGAGTGGAGGAAGCGAAAAGTGAAGCACAAAAGTAAAAAAGCTGAAAAGCCACGAAAAGGTAGCGCTCAGCTAAACGCCAGCCAGAAGGCAGCAGAGAAGCACCAGTGAGCAGTTAAGCCAGCTTTTCAATAGCATGGCTAAGAAAGACATGTTCTTAGCTCGGTGAAGAATGGCTGTCAAACTGAGAAAATGGTGGGTGGGGCCTCCACACAGCATCATGCTCATTTGCCTTAACAAGCGTGATTAGATGTGTCTTCAGCCAGACCACACGAGGGTATGTCCTATAGTACCTTCGATGTACCACGTGAATCAATTGACATGGAACACTGATGGAATTCAGACCTCGTACACCAACTTCATCTCCTTCCCCACCAGAGAGGTGACATTCCATGTATCGAGAACCAGCTTCTGTAGCCGAGGATCAGACCACACATTGCACTCAACCCTTTTGGCCCCTCCCACAAGTGGTGAGCCCATGGGAAGGGGGACCCTCTTCCTCTTTCCTTTTCTGGCTGTGCCTGGCCGGGCTCCATAGGTGAAGGCATGGCCACCAGGTGCTTCCTCACAAGCCCCACCTCCAGGCCTGGCTACAGAGGGGGGCCCCGGGGACCCGCCTTCGGGCTAGGGAATATTGTTTTCATTTGTGTTATTTAACATAAGGGGTCTATGGGCTAAACTTTGTCATGGTTAACCCTACCAGAGGCATAAAGCCTGTGACAACTTGGCTCCTAAGATCATTTGGACACTCAAACCCCTCCATCACGATAAGGTAGCAGCCCAGGGAGGGGTACATTTTTGAAAATGGAAACAACAAATAATCGAACAACTATTTTTGCAAAATCTTCAAACATTTTTCCTATTTTCTGCAGATCGATGTCCACATCATGACCCAGCCGCCCTCTGGAGAGTGGGTGTACTTCGACACAGAGCTGACAAACAGCAGTGGACGTGTCTCTTATGTGATCCCAGATGGCAGAAGGCTGGGTATTGGGGTGTTTCCTGTCAAAATGGTGGTCAGGTATGAATACACACAACACCTATCCTCTTGAAGGTTTGTCATCTCTGATTCTTCTTCTTATTTTGCCATCTCTTTTCCTCCGAACAGAGGGGACCACACATTTGCTGACAGTTATCTCACTATTGTACCAAAAGGGACAGAGTTTGTTGTTTTTAGTATCGATGGCTCATTCGCTGCCAGTGTGTCTATAATGGGAAGTGACCCCAAAGTTCGAGCTGGAGCTGTGGATGTGGTGAGGTAAGTATAACACCACCTCAAAATGTATATTACATAAGGTTAGGACTGGGCGATAAGGCTTAAAAGTAAAATATCACGACCTAAAATCTGTCTTTCAACCCTGAATCACTGTTTAAGTCGACATTAAAGCCTACCAAACCATAGAGCTATCTAAAACTAATTCACCAAGATTTTGTTGAAAGGTTCAATGATTGTTATTCAGCACAGACTACAAAGCAGAAATCTGAATAAAACAGAACAATGACCAAATTATTCATGTTTGAAGCCAAAATCACCACCGCCACCAGGCGCTCGCTCACAGGCCCCAACCCCAGGCCTGGCTCCAGGGTGGGATCCCGGTAACCCTCCGGGCCGGGTACTCCAACTCTTTGAATTTACATCCATGAAAGATCCTGTGAACCGTTCTTTGTCTCACCCTCCACCTAAGACCAATTTGTCATGGGAGACCCTACCAGGGGCACAAAGTGCCCCAGACAACATAGCTCCTAGGATCATTAGGGCACTCAAACTCCTCCACCACGATAAGGTGACGGTTCAAGGAGGAGCTGTTTAAATTCACTAAATATATTTATTTTTCTTATAGAATGAGTAATAATAAACTATAAATGTCTTATAAACTAATATTAGCGTACATCTACCCAAAAAAGTATATATGTTTATATTTATGTGCTTAGCAGATAAACATATATATATAAGTATATATATTTTTACTTTTTGCCACCTCAGATGGTTTCATCAGTTCCACAGTTGTAGCTTGTGTTTGCATGTTTAATGCTTGCTGGCAGGTACTGGCAGGACCTGGGCTACCTGATCGTGTACGTCACGGGTCGTCCTGACATGCAGAAGCAGCGTGTGGTGGCCTGGCTCTCTCAGCATAACTTTCCTCATGGGATTGTCTCTTTCTGTGATGGTCTGGTTCATGACCCACTCCGACACAAGGCCAACTTCCTCAGATCCCTCATCAGCGAGGTAAGATGGCAGGATGCAAGTCTGACACAGTCCTACAACCAAACGTGTCAGTCTTCATACATTTTTGCTCACTTGTTTAGGCCCACATGAGGATCTTCGCAGCCTACGGCTCTACCAAAGACATCTCTGTGTACACGTCTATCGGTCTGCCTCCCTCTCAGATCTACATCGTGGGAAGACCCTCGAAAAAGATGCAGCACCAGTGTCAGGTATGGCAGCTATGGGCGATTTGTGGAGATTGTGGCAAATGGTTAGAAATAACTTTTGTAGTGGTAGTCCTGTATAGGCCTGGGCGATAAATCGATTTAATTAATTAATTAGAATTTTTTTGTTGCGGACATTAACTCATTCACTGCCAATGACGTCGTTATTAGCATGTTTTTATTTTGTGGGCGTCGGAACGAGCCCCCGCACCGCGAGAACAAACATCTCCGCTCTAAAGCCGATCTTCATCCGCATACGTCACACGTCACGTGATCAGGAAGCAGAAAATCCATGTGTTAGGAGATTGCTTTGGGCCGCTGCTGTAAACAAAAAAGTGAGGCGCGAACCGGAAAAGCGTCTGCCGATCACAATTCAACAACGGATTATGAAAGAACGGATAACGCTTGAAATGCGTGGATTCTTCCTGATGTAAGAGGTGAGTCTCTGCTTTGTTTTGGTTGTTTTGCCGTCGACATCATCCTAGCACGCAACGTTCTGTGACTCTTTAAAAAACAGTAAAAATGGTGAGAAGCGCTGGCAGCGAATGAGTTAAAAAAATCTAAAATGTATCGACTTTTTATGTAATAGCGCCTTTTTGGTCCCTTGGAGCTTCTGCAGCGTTAGTTTCACATAGCCGCGACAACAACGTCACAGCACGCACCCGAAACAGGAACAGCAGGCGACTCCACGGCCACCGGTGAGAGTGGGAAGTTTGTTCCTAAGAAAGGAATGAAATCATCCATTGTTTGGAACTGGTTTGGGTTTGCTGCGACGGACGTGGAGCGTGGCACTTTTATTCCAAGAGGGTGTTTGTTTATATCATGCATCTCAGAAATGAGGGTTACATTTGTCTTGCTTGTGATTATATAAAAAATAAAAATTGGCTTTAATGTGCTTTTCATTTGTACTTATTGCTATTCTTAATAATTGAGGGGGAGAGAGAATCGGTAAAAAATCGTAAATCAAAAAAAAAAATCTAATTGGAGATTTTATTTTTAGGCCGTATCGCCCAGCCCTAGTCCTGGATCTAAAACTGGTCTTAGTGGTCAAGCAAGGACCAGACATTCATGAGCTGGGTATGATGAGTACTCGTAAAAAACTACCCCTGGATTGGGAAACACTACTGGAGTGTTTAGATTCTGCAGAAAAATGCACTGACACTTATTTAACATTTCAGTTTTCATATTTTGTTCTTCTGTCTAGTTTGAGGATGGTTTCTGTTTAATTTTCTAGCTAAGCTTAGTAAACTTGACCAAGCTACATCTCTTTCAGTTCATCCCAGATGGCTACGCATCCCACTTGTCCCAGCTCCAGTACAACCAAAGGTCTCGGCCCGCCAAGTCCACCAGCACCCGCATGGTCCTCCGAAAGGGCAGCTTTGCTCTAGGTGTGGCCGGAGGAGACTTCCTCCGCAAACGCAACCACATCTTTCGCACCATTTCCTCTCAGCAGCCCGGCGGGTCGGGGTCCAGCTCTCCTGGCCAACATGTCCGGACTGAGCGCACGCTGAGTCAGTGCGAGGGGGAACGGGAGAGGTCTATTGCAGCAGTGACCCAGAGGAGTATGAGCATAGCAGCTGGGTGCTGGGGGCGCACTGGGAGCACCAAGGAGGGCAGTGTGGGGTTACTGGGCCCCAAGTAAAGTTCACAAAAAGACCAAATAACCTGGGCTGAGCTACCATGGTCTCTGGATGAAAACAAAGGTTTGAGGAGTTGGACCTGGATGGAGGTTTGTAGGTCTGGGATAACAACCTCACAAGAAAGAAGTGACCTGATAGGCCAACTGGACCCAGAGAACTAAACAGTTCTGTAGCATGAGTCTTTTACATTACAACTTTTATAAGATACACCACTTAATTAGTCTTCAAATGACAAAGAAAAATAAATAAATTTACATTATAAGCCTTAAATTAATCTCGTTCAGCGAGAGCCCTTCCTATTCAAATCAATGCGCCATTCAAACATTCACCTTCATGAGCTCAGGACAAACTGCAGACGTAGATGTATCCTCAGTCACCCAAAAGTCTGAGGCCAAGCTCGTCTGGCTTTCACCTCGACTCTCGTTCCAGTTTCAGGCTCAACACACAGAATGACTGGCAATAGGTCAACAACACTGTCCTCAATCCAAAAGAACCATTGGTAAAATCTAAAAATACAAAAGCAGTTCATCCAAATGAAACCAGTCATCTACTTGGTTTTGGTTTGATGTTTGAAGAAGGAGACTGGTGTTCTTTACCGTGGAGGCTTTGAACAGAAGGATGAACCAACCCCTGAGCTGGATCTGGCCCAATTTCTGAGTCTGAATGATCAAGTCTCATATCTGTCAGGATTATTTAAGTAGATCACTAACAGACGGAGCTTGTGTATCATCGTATTGTTGCTAAACTGATACCTCAGACGTTGTAATCTTTAGCTTTAGAGTTCAAACCCACTGAGGGCTGAATTACATTCTGTTAGGGGCAGCAGAAGCTCAGGAGGTAGAGCGGGTTGTCCAGCAGTCGAAGGGTTGAAGGCTCGATCCCAGCTCCCAGCAGAGAATTCTGCTGTTGTGTCTTTGGGCAAGACATTAACCCACCTAGCCTGCTGGTGGTGGTCAGAGGCGCCGGTGGCGCCGGCGCTCGGCAGCCTTGCTTCCTTCAGTGTGCCCCAGGGCAGCTGTGCCTACATTGTAGCTCATCACCATCAGTATGTGAATATGTGTGAATGACTGTTTGTGTTAAGAGTCTTGGGGGCTGGTAGAACCCCGAAAGGCGTTATATAAAATACAGGCCACTTACCACTCTTCTCTGCGAACTCACCAATCACTTTCGGCCCATTCCTCATGCAGATATGTGGGACAAACTCAGAAGCTCAGAAACAAACGTGTGACTCGTAAATCCACGACATGTACAAGACTCGCAAAGTTGTGTTCACTGACGAGTGTTTGTACAATCATGATTGTGATTGTTCTTTAGACTTTTGGAAAATATTCAACAAGTGTACCTCTCCTGTACTATATTTTCCCACTGAAGCGTGTAGATATTAGTAAAAATTCAAAGGCTCAGTAGAATGAACTCCTCCACCATGAAACCCAAACTTTCTGCTTTTCTCATCACCAAAACAAATGAGTAAAACAGTCATTTGGATGAACTGTTTCTTTAGTCAGTATTATGCTGGATCGTATCAGGAACATATTGTTAGTCATAGCCACAAAATGTTGGTGTTTGAGGAATTTTCTGCAAATGGACTGGGGTTTTCCCTGTAGTGTGGCCTCTTGGCCACTCACAGCCTTAATATTCCACTAAATGCTCCACAGAGGGAAGAGATGGCAGTAAAACGAGGGCATGCAGCATTGAAGCAACAACTAAAACTGTACAGTCCACAGCAATGATCCCTTTATATACCCATCTGCTTTTGCAATAGCTCTGGCCCACCTGCTGGTAGCATTCTCTCCCACATTTGCTGCTGCATCTGGGGTGGCGTTTCCCAGCTACCGTTCCAGGACACCAAACAGGACGGACCTGGTGTCACTGGATGAGGACCATGGGATACATAGCAGGAACTTTACTATCCCAAGACTTGTTTCAACGTTTGTACCAAAACGACCGAAGAATGAGCTGAGATGATTCCGAGTGAATGTTGCAGACTGAACTGATCGTGTGCCAGAGCTGAATGTCAGATTGTACCTCTCTTTCTCCTCAGAGTCATCCTTAGTTTTGCTGCTTTGAACTGAATATTTTCATGCTAAATAGTAAAATGAACAAGAATAAGACACCTCGCCTTTGACAATGAAACACAGTTTAATGAGTTTTTAAGGTTTTAGGACGACAGTCAGGTGCTTGTTACACCACTGAAACGGGTGTTATCTATAACCAGTAAGATGAGCTCCTCTTCCTGACCCCCTTTCAGTGTGCTTCCAGTATAAATTCACAGAAAATAGAAAAAAAATGAATTGAAGTAAAGATGCATCCAGTAGTGCAGGATGCATGGGTGCCTTTGGGGCTTCATCCCCCTCTAGCGGTGGCTGAAGGACATATTATCTTACACTCAGACATCTGCTGTGATGGACTGGCAATCTGTCCTGGGTGTACCCCGCCTGCTAACCCAATGATAGCTGGAGATAGGCACCAGCCCCCGCGACCCTGCGTGGAAAAGCGGGTTATGAAAATGGATGGATGGACTCTGACACCCCCTCCAAGGACTCCAAAAAGGAAGAGTACAGGGGCGGAGCTTCAGGGGGCTGGGGGGGCAGAGGCCCCCCGGCCCAGCTGTGATTTGTTCCACTAGTACAGAGAGCCGCCGTCCTGCTTGTTTTCCAACTATCTTTGTTGTTCCTGGTGTTGATTACCTGGATCAGGTGTGTTAGAAGCTGCAAGTTCATGCATGGCTGGAAAACATGGTGCAAAACCACAACAACGCCCACCAGTTGGGGTTAAATAACTTGTAACCAGCTGAAGGATAACCGCCCATGCATTAATTAATCCATAGGAGGCTCGTACCTGTTTGTGTTGTTAAATCCAGGTGGTGACTTTTCTTCATTCTGTCCAGGCCATGCAATGTTTAGTTTGTTACTGTAGCTGTTCAGGAAAGTTGCTGTTACTATGGCAATGAGTGACATGTACAGGGCCGATGTCCACTCAATCTTTCTGGAAGTGTGTGTGTGTGTGTGTGTGTGTGTGTGTGTGTGTGTGTGTGTGTGTGTGTGTGTGTGTGTGTGTGTTCACACCCCCACACAACAGTCCCAGTTTTAAACGAGCACCTGACTGTTTCAGCCTAAAAAGTCAAGAACTCTTCCTCTAACTGTGAGTTTCTGAAGGACGGATGTGTGAAGAGGATGCAGCTTCTACACGCCTGCAGCATTTATCTGTTTACACTCGGTGATCAGCGATGTTTTCAACTCACCAAAACAGCCAAACTCATCCTCTGATACTGTAGTAAAGCAACTATGTAACCTCTTTGTAATTATTTTGCACTAGTTTGCAGGGAAACCTATATCAGCTACTATTTAAGTCCCTACACATTTAAAACCTCTTTATGTGCTGATGTGTCCATCTGTGTGTACTTTGTTCAGATATGATGTGTCAGTATCATGAATGTGCCAAACAGCAGGGAGAGGATTAAAGTATTTAGAACAGGGCTTTTCAAAACTTGAGACCATCCCACTATTATTGTCTGCTTCGCAACTACAATTCCCAAAATGCTTTGTAAGTTTTAAGTCCGTTGGCTCTCCTCGTTCGTCGTCACACTCAGTTTGGTGAGTTCGTTGTGTAAAGTGTCATTGAAAGCATTATTCTAGCATATTTAGACGTCCAGAAACAAGCGGATAAAACGGTTCTAGCTGAACAATATTGGGCTGATATTTTTCAAGAAAATACATTTAAAGCTAATCTAGAACTTACATTGTGTTTTGGTAGCATAAAAAGTATTTTAAATAATTAATTATGGCAGCATAAACTTATACAGACTTCTTTAGTGTGTTATGTTGATATTGAAATGAATGTTATACGGGAGTCCCATGAACAGTGTTCAGGAATTAAATCCTTATCTGTTGTTAATGAAAAGTGACATTTCAGACATTTTGATCTGGAAAAAGCAAAGAAAGCACAGATTTATTAATGAGGACTCCCTCTTCTATGTACTCTGATAGTTAGAGATGTTCAGTATTATTTTTTTTACCAACATCTGATGCAGATATAGTCAAACTCTTAACAGTACCAGCATGACAGATAACTGATGGGGTGAAAAAGGTCAAAGAGTAAAAACAGATTCTGATCATTTATATTGCATTTTAATGCCAATATTAGCAGATGATATTGGACATCCCAAAAGATAATCAAAGACTTAAACTTCCGCCCGGTTCAGCTCCTGACCCATGTTCACACAGCCAAGAGATCCTTGCTCTTTGAAAATCCCCGGTTTAAACCGCTGTAGAGATGCTGGTCTACATAAATCTTCTAAGGGTGTGGAACACAAAAAAGCATTTAAAATGATTATTTCTGAATATAACCAATCACTCTGACTTTAACATGCAGGATGAACATGAAAATAGTCTCCTACACCTATCTCCTGCATTAGCTTCTGATAGAAAATAGACAGTGAAACTCTAGGATTAGAAAATCCTGACATATCCACGTCACACTGTCACTTGACATTCATGGACTCACCCATCTTGACTCACGACAGGGACGGCTGTGGTTGGTTTAGCGTCCAGAAAACAGCAAAGAACGTCTTGGCTAGTAGAAGCTAACTGTTAGCATTAGCAACTCCATCACACAACAGAACTCCTCCATGCTTGTGTTATTTGTGGAGATAAAACATCAACTTTGCAGAGCAAACAGTAAGTAGTAGAGGCATGTTTCTGTTGGCAAATCAGAGGCGAGATGTCCAGATATCAGGAAATTAGACTCCAAATCCTGCCGTCAGGAGCTCAGCTCTGATGTGGCTCCCTTCTAGTTCCTGAAACTGGTGTTTTTCCACCCAGATTGTAACTTACAAGCCATTCATTCCTTCTGTAAACTACAGCAGATGTAATAATTAAACAAGTGTATTTCAACTTTACATTTTTTTTGTCTAGATATTAGAGAAAGAAGCTGGGAGTTACAGATACATTTGATGTTTATGTGAACTTTTGCTGTTCCAAGGTGAAAGTTTTTCTGTTTTACTGCATTTGATGGGATTCGATTTTTTCCTAAATGATCAACCAAGAAATTTTCTCACACAAAAAATACAGAACCTGAATCAAGTGACCAAAAATCACCTCTCAGAATCATCAGTGCAAATTCCAAAAACAAACAAACAAAAAATCACTCTAAAAAGCAAATTAATTCTATTTATATTTCTAAAGAGAAATATTTATTTTTACTTCTTAACCATTCATATTTAATTTTTTGACTCACTTTTGGTTATCTTTTAAATCTGCATTACTCAGACAGACTATATACTTTTATTCTGAAAGGCTTGTTTTGGTTTTGCAGACAGTTATCTGCTTTTGCTGCAACTCGACTTAGCTTTAGCTCTAGGTTTTTGCATTTGAAATGTTCTTTTTGTTGCTTTTTTCTGCTATATTTTGTACCAGACAGTGTTTTTGTTTATGCTTTTATCCCATACAGTGTTCCCTCTTCAGTTGTCCCTCTGCTGAGTTGAATGTCCATCCACCCGTCTGATGTCCGAGACTGATCAGGAGCCGAGGATGTGTGTCTGTGTGTATAAATACTGTAAAGATGTATGTAAAAGCAAACGAAGAGTTATTTATTTACTTAAATATCATGTTATTCTGGAAATTTCAGGTGAAATATATTTGGAATATGTAGCGTTATATTAATCATTTGTGCTGTCATGAAGGCGACGGACCAACACAGGAAGAATTTTGATTTACCGGTACAATTTTCCAGTTCCAAGGGAAATAATCTACCACAGCGATCTCCAGGCAGTCTCGACCTGTTGAGTCATCATCTGCTGATATGTTTCACACTTGTGAAATCTGTTTGTATTCAAGCCACCGTTGACCGCTGCTTTGACTCTACAACAGCCAGCTGCTGAGCATTTTATAGGTCTGACTGTATCAGTTTTCCAAGCTGGAGTATTTTACAAAATCTTTGAGATACAACTGGAGGCTGTTTTTATCAGTCAGGAGTTAATGCATGTAAAAATGAAATCCCATAACAAAGAACTGTAACGATCTGTTGCATGTCGTCTATCAAAGTAAAACTTCTTAACATTCACTTGAAAAATAATAAAGCAGTTATGTCCAACACTTTTTCAATGTTTCAATGAATCAGTAAAATGTGTAGATTGTTATGAAACGATGCTAATCAGGACGTTTTGGAAGAAGTTGGACCATTCCTGGTGCGTTTAGGTCACACAAGTAAGTTTTAATTTGTGCTTTCACTTTTAGAAAAAAGTTAAAACCATAGACATAAATATTAAAACAACCATTTAAAGGACATTTGGTCGCATAGCAAATGGTTTAGAATAACAAAATAGATATTCAAAGTTTAGGTAAAAATTCAGATTTTATTGCTAATTCACACAAAGGTGAAAGAATTTTCTTTTCTGCTCATGACAGCAAAATAAAATAAACATTGCATAAGTGTGGATAATGGCATGGACGTTTACACAATTGACAGAAACTTCTACTAGAGACCAAATATTTTTAGTTTCTTTCTTCTACATAGGAAAGATTTTCCACCTTTTATCACTGAATATCATCCGATATTAGATGGCTTGTTGAGACAAACAAATACATGACTGAGATTCATTTACTTTCTATAAAAGAAGCCCGTCACAGAGAAACCACTTTTCACGTGTTACTTTTGAAAATGATCACTCTTGAGTGTTTCAGGCAGACTGAACATGAATATAGCCTCCTACGCCTACCTCCTTCATAAAAAGTAGACGTGAAACTCTAGGATTAGAAGATCCTGACAGATCTACGTCACAGTCGCTTAAAGCTACACCGGCAAATATGGAAAAGAAATTAAAAATAAACATTTTTCATGCCTCTTCAAAACCTTCTAATATAGTATAGCCAAAAAAAATGCCCAACTAAAAGAAAACTCCCCACCAGAAAACAGGTAGGAGACTCCTATTGGATAATTACTGCAGGGCGATTATCTTTCTGTTGCAACAAGTTATTTAACCTCAGCTTGTGCAATGAGCCGCTTCTCATGTGGAAAGACACGTCTGGTGGTCGTGGAAAAGATGTTAGTCTGTGTGAGAAGGGTCAGATCATTGGCATGCATCAAAAACATCTAAGGAGATACAGAAACGACTAAAACTGGCTTAAGAACTGTCCAACGTATTATTAAAAACTGGTCTGAGTTCAGATGGACGCCAAAAGCAACCATTGGACCATCCAGTTGTCGGTCTGGCTGAAATGCTGCACTTCCCTGGGTCTTCTATTCATCAAGAAGAAGAAGAAGAAGAAGAACAAGAACAAGAACAAGAAGAAGAAGAAGAACAAGAAGAACAAGAACAAGAACAAGAAGAACAAGAACAAGATAAAAAAAATCCCGAGGCACTTCGCAAAAACAAAAAAATTTAAATATAAAAAAGAACTTAGAAAATGATTACAAATATGTTTAAAAGTTGCTAAAATAGGCAATTGTGATAAAAATGTAAAGAGAGAGAGAGAGAGAGAGAGAGAGAGAGAGAGAGAGAGAGAGAGAGAGAGAGAGAGAGAGAGAGAGAGACAGAGACAGAGAGAGAGAGAGAGAGAGAGAGAGAGAGAGAGAGAGAGAGAGAGAGAGAGAGAGAGAGAGAGAGAGAGAGAGACAGAGTGAACAGGAAAGAGGGAAATCAGTGGATCCTGGAAGGTGGAATTGGTGGGGAGAATAGAATAAGGAGAGGGTGGTGAAGAAGGTTTTACAATAGCTGGCACATTTTGCAACTGAACACCAGTGGTGAGAGGGTTTCTTCTCAATAACACCAGAGAAGGAGAAACAGCCAGCTACTACCACTTCAACTTTAGGAAAAACTAGAGCCCCAAAGAAAGAAAAACAACATTTGAAGTCATGCACAACAAAAGATCTTTGGACCTAGGAAGCTGCATCTGGTGTTTAGGACTATCTTGTTTCCTCTTGTAATGCAGGCATCCGATTCCGGCAGAAGTGTTTCAGGAAAGATACCCGAGGTAATGTCATTCTCCACAGTAGCTTTAACGTCCATGGACTCATCCATCTATACACGAAATGGGGAAGGCTGTTGTTGGTTTAGCCAGGATGTCTTCACTTGGACAAACTACTTAAAGTGCAAATAACATCTAAATTAACTTTTTTTTTTGCTGATAACCTGTATAGATGAGTGTCTAATAGTGCTGCAGACATGTGTAATCTTAGTGTGGAAGTTTAGTGAAACTTACTTTAAATGTAATATTTCAGCCCAACACTGATACCTCCATCTTCACAATAATTTAACATCAGCTGTGGCTGATGGCTAAGCTGACAAACGTGACGAAGAGAGCCGTCTATCACTGCCTCGATGCCTCTCTCTCGGTCCGCCAGGCTATGCCTCTTTCAGAAGCGTTTTTCTAACAGGAAGTGTGACAGAAATAAGTCTCCACCCATACCTTGACTCCCACTTTAATTACTAAAACTCAACAAATCTATTTTAGCTATCTGTGTTCAACAATATTAAATCAACAAGCTAAGGCTAGAGCTATTAGTAGCAAAATACACAACAGAAGCTACATTTTTAAAGCTTTATTAAGTTTTGGAGGCTTAATGTTCTATATAACAGGAGTTTCCAATTTATTTATTTATTTTTTGAGGACCCTCTTGCTCATGTCCAAGACAAGCCAGGACCCCTGTAACGGAATGAAATGACTGTTTCCCCCTCTCCTCTGCACAGAACTAGTCTGCATGAGATATGGCCTCAAGGTCTCATGCATTTGCTTCTAATATGCTTCTTTTCAGCTCAACAGAAGAATGAAGAATGGACTCTTTTCTTTTAATTAATCAAAGAACTCTATTTTAATAAAGCTAATCCAACCAAGTGTTAGTCAATAAATAAGATGTGACCAATCTGTGAAATCAAAATATTAATTACTTTATTATAATCCTATAGAATATGATGAGTAATATGACTTTAAATGTTCCAACAGGACTGATCTCTGCAGCTGCATGGCGGCGCAGTGGTTAGCACTGTTGCCTAGCAGCACGAAGGTTGCAGGTTCGAAACTCAGCTGTGGTCTTTTTGCGTGGAGTTGCGTGTTCTCCCTATGCAAGCGAGGGTTTCCTCCGGGAAATCAGGTTTCCCCCACAGATCACAACATGCCCTATATGTTATAAATTGTAAGTCGCTTTGGATAAAAGCGTCTGCTAAATGAATAAACATAAACATAAACATCTCACGTAGCGTTAAGACATGACACATTGTTTCACTGATCCAATCAGAATCTGCCAAATCTGACGGAGGCGTGGTTTTAGTGGTGTTTGGTTAATCTGTCAACTTTTCATTCGACCATAAACCAAAACATCCGAAGTATAAAACTATGCCCACGTCATCTCTAACGCCAGTTCAAAGCGTTCTAGAGAAGTTGTCGGAGTGGCCAATCCGTAACTCTCCTCTTCAGCCGAAAGAACCAACGACAAGCTGGATAAAATCTGTTGCTGTAACAACCGCTGCAATGGTTCCTTTCAGAATAAAAGCGGAACCATCACGACCCAGGTGGGTCTCACTAGACGCCAACAAAATTGTCGTGACCCGGGAGTATCTCAGACTGGTCTGGTCGGCAACCGCTGCTTTTCCTACTGGCTTCGGTTCCAGAAAAGGTCAAGCTGTACCTCGACATTCCTGATCTAACGGGGACTTCCGCTCATGGTATGTAGGCCGACAAATGGTGTTGAATGTGTTTATGAATCTCCCAATCAAAGCTTAACGCGAAGACATCACCTTCAGTTCCCATCAGAACTAATCGCTTCTTCGGATTTGCTGGTTCTGAGCAACATTACACCTCACCCCATTCACCGTCTCATCCACCTTAGTTACACCATACATTTAGTGTTTAAGTTAGTCTAGTTTAATTTGTTTAGTAATAATTAACATTTAACTTTTAAACTTGACTCTCTCTTCTGTTGTCTCTGAGTGAATACGAAGCTGTTATCTAATCCCTGCATTAAAAAGTTCCAATCTTCTGGTTAAAAATAACCTCACAGATCCATAAGGTTGATTTCATATTTCCTATGGAATCCTACGCCTTATGGCTTATTAAATAACATGTCATTTAAATCATTACACCCCCAACCCCTACATGCGTAAACACATTAAATGTGATCATTTACCATCTTTGTACAGACACACAGAGCTATAAATTGTATGGAATTATGATTATACTGTAGGGTGTGTTATTGGGAGTTTATAAATGTAATTTTTACAAATAAATTATTGTTAACCTCACAATCTCAGCAAAGGCAAAATTGTGGGGAACCCTGCTCTATAAAATGGCTAAAATAAAATAAGTGTAGTACTAGCGTTCAGACAATGGAGGGCAGCAACTCCCCATCTTCCCTTTCTAAAAAAAATGCTGTTGGAAACCAGATTGTTTTATTTTTTGCCAGCAGAGGGCGCAAATCCATGTTCTTCAAAGGGAAGAGGAAGTGTTTCTAAAATTTAACTCTTAACTTTATAAATCCAGCTCCTTCTTCGCCTCCTCCTTAATATTAATATTCCAAAGAGGACAAAACAGATTAAGATTTTTTAAAGCTTCCTTAAGATACGGAGGCTAAAATATTCTCTTCTGAATGAAAACAAAGAACAAACATGCAGAACCAGCTTTCAGACATTAGAGGACAGCAACTCCCCATATTCCATTCTTTGTTAAATATAGTTTCTAATCAAACATGCCAGATAGAAAACTATTAGGTCTTGGTTCAAAGACATTCACAAACTGACCTGCTCTGGCTGGGGGTCAACAGCACAGATCTGCGTATCCCGATCGACTAACACCGTCAGCCTTTTTCTAAGCCGGTCAGCAGGTTGGGAACAGCAGTGCAGGCTGCCTTCAGGAGGGAGGGGGGGAAGAACTCTGTGCCGCTGTCCATGGTGCTGAAGTTAAGAAAACAGCTGAAGATGGCACCGTCAAAGGTGTTGATCACCCACTACTAGGATGGACAGGCAGCAGCCCTAACACACTGATTTTTATTTTCAATGGTCCATATTTTTGTTTTCAAAAAGAAAAGCATGAATGGTTTGATATTTTACAATAAATGTAAAAACTACACAAATAAACATTTATATATGGACAGTTTTTAACGCTGAACTTGCCCGTTTAATTTTGCTGACAGACCTGTGGCTGTGAATAAGTGTATACGCAGCCCTGAGTTTGGCATGTGATGGACCTTGTCTCCACGTGAACCCAAACATTATGCCTTTGCCTTAAAATGAAAACACAAACAGCAAACAGAAGACATTTTTATTTCTTTTGGCAAATGAAAAACTTGTTTTCATAAATGTCAAATAACTGTTGTGTAAATTAGTGCTAGGTTTCTTCTTGGTCAAAACTGTTTCAATGCACAGTTGCAAACCAAATGCAACGTGGCTCCCTTTGAACACAAACTTTCCTGATCCCATCCCTTGGACTGAAACGAGGGGAAGACCAGGAAGAAAATCCACCAAATATTGCACAAAATGGCAAAAGCAGTTTAGAAAATTGGCCCAAATCAACAGTGATGATAACAAAGATAAGCTGTGACTGACTTAAAAACTGGTTTAAAACAGATAAATATTCACAAATTTTACTGCTTTTAACTAAAGCACTTGTGACTTTTCATGCACACAAAACATGCACGCGCGCATACACACACACACACACACATACGCACACCTGACATGAGGATAAAAAGCAGAGTCGATGGTCGGCTCTTCGGTTTTACAGATGGATGATGGGAGGAACCTGAACACACACACAGCAGAGTGGGTGATAAAACCACCGCTGAGTAAATCAGCGCCCCGGGTCTCGTCTCAGCAGACCTTCTCCTGCCTCAGGACGAGTCCGAGTTACACAGAGACTGTTGGATATTTAAAGCGCTCGAGGCCTCTTGGGAGTTATTTGTTTGCTAGCTTGTTCCTCTTCTTGGAGATTACAACGGAAAGACTTGACTTTATCTAAAGGAAGACAGAAAATCACACACTTCTTTACAGCCTGTAGCAGGAAAAACACAACAAACTGAAGTGCAGCTTTGATTACATTCTGGAAAAGACAAATGTTACAGGAATAGTTTAGAGTTGCTGCTATGTGAGTGGTTGATTTCAAACCCAACATCTATACCTAATAAAGTGGCCAGTGAGTGTTTCTTGTTTTGAACAGAAAGAGCAGAAACATGTCTGGTTTATCGTTTAACAACAGCAGACTGGTCTTTACCTCTCAGCTCAGTGAGAATGTCTATCTTCTGATCCAGGATCTGCTCCAGTTGGGTTGCATATGATTCAACATCATAATCCACCTCCTCTGTCATCTCTAGAAGAACCTTCTCATCTTCCAGCCAGCGGATTGACTCCTGGGAACAAGAAGATGTAGTTTAACTGGCAGCCGTTTACCAAAAGTGACTGCTTTTGATGGGCTGGACATGGTTTGGTTTGTTTTGGGACCTGGAACACCGCCCTGTGATCCTCCAGCACCTGCTCCTCCATCTCCACTAGCTGAGAAACCACTTCATGGAAGGTGAACAGCTGTGGGGAAACTTCTTCCTCCTGAAATGAAAATAAAACACTTTTTTGTTCCAGCATACGTCTCAGACACATCTGTTGACTTTTTCAGTTGGTACCATTCACTTACATTACATTAGCAAAGCTAATGCTAAAAGAGGACTGCCGGATCAGGAGAACGACTGGTCTGGTTACAAATAGGTGTTTCCTACTTATCTATGGAAAATATAGCAGCAGACATAATTGAACTTTGGGGTGGAATATCCCCTTAACACTGGTTTCTAGTCCCAGGCCTACAGAACATTTGTAAATGTGTGTTCATCGTTATATTCTCATATTGACATGGTTCCAGTCCCACTCCGCTCCATTTGGACCAAGACATGGCTCCCTAACCACAGCAAAACAGCTCAAAGAGGAAAAAGAAGAAAGAAAATAGATGTAGCATCATGAATGTCCTGTTTTGGACCTAAAGGTCATGATCTGCTGCGTCTGCTCGAGCAGAGACATAAAGTCTCTAACAGGCTAATCTACATGAGATAGTGGCCAAGGTCTTTCATGCACTCTGCTCATCTGAACTGCTTCATCTCTGTCAAGACAAAGACAAAGAACTATTTGGATAAATACATAATCAACAGTTATTACCAATAATAATGTGACCCCAATGTTCAATCAATTTGTGAAATGGCAATGTTATTACTTGATATTATAATTCTGTGATCAGTAGTATTTTACAAGTAATTGTAATCCTGGACATTTGCATTAGACACTAATGACACGTAATGCTAAAGTCACATGACACATTTCCTTTTGTCTGATCCAATCAGAACCATAGTTTCTGGCCAGGCGTGGTTTTCTGTGGTGTTTGTATAAGCCCTCTTTTGCATGTCAAATTTTGATTCACCAGTAAACCAAAATATGACAGTTATAAAAACTAACTATCCCACACCACCCTTTCTTTAGTTCAAAGCGTTCTAGAGAAGTCTCGGACAGGCCATCCGGACTTCCTCTTCAGCCATAAAGAACTTCGACAAGCTGGATAAAATAACTTTCTTTCCCAAGGTCCCATCTGGCTGCCTCCACAGAAGGAAGAACTCCAGCTCGAATCAATCGATTGCTACTTTCAAGAATGATTTCCTAAATCAACATGAACTTCTCCCATGACTTATAATCTAGATAATTATTAAATAAACATTTGTTTATTACTACTTATAATAATTATAGTATAATGAAATGCTTCATTAATATGTGCACACTGAATGGATGTTATATTATGTGTGTCTACTAGAACCTGCTATGTGTTCAACATGTTTTGACGACCAGGTCCTCACACCTGCACTCACACAATAACAAGTACGGTTAAGTTAAACTCCAACACATAACTTGCCCTTTTAACCAGTCAGAACATCCGGTATCAAAGAAGGTGTGTTTCTGAGTTGTCTTGGTAACATCTCCCAAGCTGTCAGCCTCTGATTGGCTGTGAAAATCATATCATCAAAACCTTAAAACTGGGTCATCCTGAGTTATTCGACAGTTCTAGAGAATCGCTCAGACCGGCCATCTGTAGCAAAACCTCTTTAACCATCAAAGATTTTGACACGTCGTCAAAACCTTTTTGCACCTGCAAAGCTGATGAGCAAACAGTTCCTGCAGAAACAAAGCTGATATTGTTAGACTCCTTAAGAGTCCGCCAGACGCACGGTTCCATCCAGCTGTTGTGGCCCGAGACATCTCTGGGCCGAAGAGTCGGTACCACGGTATTCTACAGCCCTCCGGTGCCAGAGGTCAGCCGACCCCTGCAACTTTCAGATCCACCAAGAGGGTCTCTCCAAAACGGGTGAAGTAGACATGACAGATTGCGTTTGATGTGCTTCTGATGATAACAACTTTATAGCTTAGAGCAAACCAAATTCTTTTCACCAGAACTCAGCTTACTTTGATAAGGAAGCTCTGACTGACATCGCATTCACACATAGGTTCCTTCATCACGTTTAGTTACATCCACTCACAGTAAATGCTTAGGTAATTAGTCATGTTTTAAATTGTTTGCAAAATAAATTCTTATTTTTATAAACCTGACTCTTTCTCGAAGTAACACGAAGTGTGGTTGATCACTGAAAAAGCAAAGAACCTAGATCTTCTGAATTAAATCCTAGAATCTTCTGAATAATTACAATAAAGACCTCGCAGGTTAATATTTTATATTTTTAGATATACCTGGAGCGGGTACTGCATGCATTTGTAATTTCTAAGCTTGATTACTGCAACTCTCTTTATTCGGGGTTGCGTCAGTCATCACTGCATCGCCTACAGGTTGTGCAGAACAGCGCAGCTAGGTTCCTGACTGGGACCAGGAAACAGGACCACATCAGTCCGGTTCTGGCCTCCGTGCACTGGCTTCCAGTTTGCTATCGTGCACAATTCAAAATCCTCGTCTTTGTTTTTAATTTCTTACAGGGTGGTGGTCCTCCCTATCTGGCCACGCTCCTGAACAGCCATTCCCCATCACGAGCTCTGCTCTCCTCTGACCAAGGCCTGCTCGCTGTCCCTCGTTCTAGGTGTCGTACTCGCGGGGACCGGGCTTTCTCAGTCCTAGCACCGTCACTCTGGAACCAGTTGCCATCCTCAGTTAGGCTGTCCCCATCTCTGCCAGCCTTTGAGTCGCCTAAAAACCCACCTCCTCCGCTTGGCGTTTCCTGAATATGTTTGATTCGGCCCTCTTTTACGTTGAATTTATTTTACAGTTTTCATTGGTTCACTCTATCCCTTGTTTTACCCATCTGTCCTGTACTAGAATGTTTCACCGTTTTTTGTAATTTGAATTGCTTTTATTTTTGATTTATTCACTATATTTGTACTTCTACTGTACCATGTTCAGCGCCTTGTGCTTCCTGACAGGGTTGCGGAAGGCGCTTTATAAATAAAGCTTTGATTGATTGATGATTGATTGATTGATTGATTGATTGATTGGTTGGTTGGTTGATTGATTGATTGATTGATTGATTGATTGATTGATTGATTGATTGATTTATCTTCCTGGTCATAACAAATAAAAATAATCGATTTACCTACACTACATCAGTTTGGTTTCAGGAGTCATTTCATTCAATGAACCAGTTACAAATGTTCCTTATTGTGATGTTACAAAAAGGAAATGTAGCATACATCTACATTTTACATAGAATTTTAATAGAATCATTTCAACAAAAACTTTCTATTTCTTAAATAATTTTGTGTCTCCAACGAGTCACCAACAGCTGACACGCTGGCTTGAGTACTTCATGACTGGCTTTGTGTCTCAGAACCGATTAGAAGCTTCTAGCTTTCATGTTACGTTCAAAGTTCACAACCTACGAAAAAAAGTTCTTACATTCTGTTCACAGAGCAGTTTGAGATCATCTCTCTGAGGAGAGCTACCAATGCCCCACTGAGCCTCCAGAACCTCCAGCTGGGTGATGTGTCCTCCTTCCATCACTGCTGCAGGGTCCATACTGAGGTCCTTCACCCTGAAAACACAACCGCGCTGCTTAAACAACCCTGTTATAAACAACAGAGAAGGGAAGCTTAAAGCAGTGGTTCCCACGGTGATGTGTTTAGCAAATAATGTTTCTAAACTAACAACAGCCCAGAGTCTGACTGGTTTCACATGTGGATATGAACAATGACTTGAGGAAACTTAAGATGTGGTGAATAAAGTCGTACTCGTATGAAGGAGAGAGCTCCGAGCGGCCTCCTCCACCAGCGCTCTGTGAGAAGGGGATGTCTGAAGGACTGATTCCAAACTCTTTCACTCTGAAGAAACATGATAGAAAAAATGAATACAGACATTTAGGAGGTAGAAGCTCGTGTTCATGCTTCAGGTCATTTCAACGACATGTGAATTTACAAGAAACAAAAAGCAGGGATGCACCAAAATACAAATTCTTGGCCGAAACTGAAAACCAAAAACGAGGAAGCCAAGGCCGAAAACCGAAACACCAAAATAAATGATTATGCAATAATTAGAACCATAGCATTAGAAGGACTGTAAAATTAACCCTTTGTGATCCAAAGTTGCAATATTGCATGAAACAAGCCTCGGCTGCAAATATAATCCCTCATGAAGTTATGACTTTACACCAGAAGATAGCAGAGATGTGTAACTTCAGTCTGAGCCACACCTTTGGGTGTTTCTATTGAGATTTTATAGAGTTTGAAAACTGTCCCTCATCCGGAGGCTCCCGACTCATGAGAGCAGACGAGCGGGGCTCACAGAGGGTGAATGTTACCATATATAAGAGAGGAGAAACTCACAATGCTGACAGGTCTGTTCACTGTTGATGAAGCTCTTTGTCTGGTAATGTCTGACGCTGACTCTGACTCAGCGAGGAAGAAGGTGATGCTGCAGCTGCGCAGCAGCAACAGAGTGTGTGTGTGTGTGTGTCATGAGAGTAAACACGCTTCACACACATGATCCAAAGCAAATTTCACCATGTTCTGGACATGGTGGGTGTAGAAAGGATGGTAACAACATTGCTATAGTGACAGACGTAGTGCTGCAGGGTTTTTCCTGGCTCAAATTGAGGCAGAGGTGGTGCCATCCTGACCACACGCCAGCACATGCATACTCTGTGCATTCAACTGCTTCACTTTTTTTAGGCAAAATGTTTTGTCGTTAAGTGTTTTAATCTAAGCTTCTGTTGATTAATTGAATATTCCATTTGACAACGTTTCAAGTGAAATAAAACTGGTTTGCTGGTAAAAAAAATATGGAATAAAACAACAAAATTATCAGGCTGAAATAACAGACTCATTATGAAAGGCTCAATAATATGCATTAGATTGGTGTTTAGTTCCCTTTTTCCCATCTGATATCTATAATTAAAGTATTTTTAAATATTTGACCTACATTTCAGTAACATTTTAGGTTTGTATTAATAACACTCATCTTAGTCAAAATAACACATAAATATATCCAGTAAAATATAATGCATTTCATTAACATGCATTTGTATTGGAAATGGTAATAACATTTAATTACTGCTGCTAACAATGTAATGGTGGCATGTCTATTATGTACGGGTTGGCAATAATCCAGTTTAAATTATGTTCAAAGATAGAAGCGTTTGTGAATTATATACTACAACAGCTTGACGTACTTCCTGCCCCGGTGTGTGGAGCAGACTTGTAGCAGTAATGTGACTCGTATCTGCAGCGGTTCTGATCCGTAGCGCTGCAGCATGCAGAACAGGATGGTCGGGACTTTTCATCCACTTGTAGAATTTAGTCTTTCTTAGTTTTACCATCATCATATATTTTTCTGTGCGCCACTTGATCGTGAGACTGCTACCCGTTAGCTTTAGCATTAGCCAATCTGCGTGTAGCTGCACTTTTGATCCCAAACTTTGGACCGGTTCTGCCTTTGCTGGTTCCTTTACTTTCCTCCACTGCATCCAGATGACCACACTTTGCGCCAGTAAAAAGCATTTTTCTTACATGTAACTTACTTTTGTTCATAAAGTTCTGAGGAACATAGAAATTCAAAGATGTTGCACCAGTGCTACATTTAAAAATAGACAGACGCGCACAGACAGTGTTTTTCGTCGCGCTTTACAGCCTTGCTCTGATATGGAAGAGCCTGGAGGAAAATCAGGACATCAACAGCGCCAACCACAGATATGTAACTAGCGAGAAAAGCAGTTTTTAGGCCCGAGCAGCAAAAGCGCTGCGAAGGCCTATTGTATCTGCTCTGTTTATTTTTCTTCCGCCAAGTAAATTGGCTTTCTGGAGGCCTTAACATACCCGAAAACTCAGGAATTTTTGCACACATGTCGGGCGTGGTGTAAAATTTTGTATTTTAAAGGTCCCAAAAATATCACAATAAAACTTGCTCCACAGCGCCCCCTAGAATGTGAAAAATACCCCCTCCATAAACCTTAGTTTGTCGTAGTTATGAAATTTTGTACACTTGTAGTACTCAACAGTCCGCACAGAAAAGCCTCTTGCAACCATGGTCAACATAAAACAAGAAGTCGGCCATTTTGGTTTGAAGTGGTGATTTTGACCCTGTTTTGGCCGTTTCTAGGGTCCGCATCTGATTGATTTACTCGATCATTTTTCGCACGATCGTCTCAAAAGTTGTGGGAAATTGCTCAGAAGGAATGGGCGATCAAATAGAAAAAATAAAACTGACTTTTCGTATATGCTGAGGGGGCGTGGCCAGGCCTCGAAGTTCGACTACTCGCCCAAAAAATACAAATGGCTATAACTTCATACTCAAATAGAGTAGAGTTACAAAAATTTCTGTGGTCATTCGACATCCAGCAACAAACTAAAATGAATGGTCAGATGATGACATCACACAAGCCCCGCCTCCTCTGGTGAAATTTTACTGTGATAGGTCCCAAATCGCCCCATTTCACTTAATCACCACTAATTTGTAGCTGGTAACTCAAGACAAGTGGGGGTTGCTTGGCGTCGCTTTATGGGAGTTTTCAAAAGAGGGCGGGACTGTGGCGGCACAGCAAAGTCAGGCGTACCGCAGTGGCCATACGTTTGCCTCTCATTTTGTCATTTCTAAAGATATCACCATGAAACTTCTGGTGAGTCATCCTAGTCCGGCCCCCCAAAAAATCTGATGTGAAAATCCGGTGGGTGTGGCCTATTTTCTTAAATAGCGCCTCCTAGGACCATTAAAATTGTCAGCCCCAAGCCAAGCTTTGACTGAGGATTACGAAATTTGGTACACTAATGTAGTGTCTCAGGACCTACAAAAAAGTCTCTTGGAGCCAAGTGCTAAAGCCTGATTCATGCTTCTCCGTCAGCTCCGCAAGAGACAGGCACGCACGGGTTGACTGAAGCGTTTTGCTCTCATACTTCTCCGTCTCCTGGAGAGTGCTGCAAAGCAATTCCCCGGCAGGACAACAGAGGGTGTAGCGCTGTTCAGTGGTATCCTGATAGTGTGTTTAGATTGTTTTTTTTTTTTGTATATAAGAGACTTTTTAACACAGACAAATTTGTCTCTCTTCCTCCTCCACCTCTTCATGAACTCGCTACTTCTAAACCCGCATTTCCTTCAACCAATAAAACGCTTGCTGCACATCTTTTCACTCCTCCAGTCACGGGGGAATTAAACGTTCATGTTTTTAGAGTTTTTTCACGAGGTATTATTCAAACTTCTCCGTGTCTGCCGCTTGTTATCCTCGGCTCTCTTTATGTTTTTGAGGGTGCAATGGCGGTGCTGTAGACAACAGTGGCGTCCTGACCAATCACAAGCTGGCGTTGTCCGTCTCGACTGACGAATGTTTAGAAAAGAGAGCTCGACTCCGTCCGTTCTTGCAGAGCTCTCCGGCAGGTCCGCAAGGACGTTGCATGTCTCCGCACTGACGCAGACGGAGAAGCATGAATCAGGCTTAAGTCACACAGGAGGTCGGCCATTTTGGCTCCATTTAGTGGTTTTTGCACACATTGTTTGGAGAATGATGCCCCATCGCCCTTTTCACCGATCACCTTCAAACTTCTGCTATATCCTCTTAAGCTATAGGGGGGGAAATTCAACCATTGGATTTTTCTAAAGTTGAAAGGTGTGGGCGTGGCTAAGCCTCAAACTTTGACCCATCTCCACGCCACTCTTTTTTTCACAGCTCCCTATTGGACTCCTTTCACCCAATCACCAACAATCTCTGGCAAATAGCAGTAGACAAGTTGAGGTAACTTGGGTGTCCAGTATTGGCAGGTTTCAAAAGAAGGCGGGGCTTTGGGTGCATGGCAAAATTCGCCATCACGCCATGTAAATATGTTTGCCTTTCATTTCCTCTGTTATCATGATATCGCCACGAAATCTCTGGTGAGTGATCCTAGTCTGATCCCCAATAGAAATGAACGTGATAGGTTGGTGGGCATGGCCTATTTTTTGAAATTGCGCCCCCTAGAACCATTAAAACTGTCAGCCCCAAGCCGTGCTTTAATTGAGAACTACGAAATTTGGCACACTAATGTAGTGCCTTGGGACCTACAAAACAGTCTCTTGGAGCCAAGGTCAATGTCGCACAGGAAGTCGGCCATTTTGGTCCAAGTACTCCATTTAGTGGTTTTCGTACGCGTCGTTTGGAAAGTGATGCCCCATCGCCCTTTTCACCAATCGCCTTCAAACTTCTGCTATATACTTTTAAGACATAGGGGAAAAAATTCAACCGACGGATTTTTTAAAGTTGAAAGGTGTGGGCGTGGCTAAGCCTCAAACTTTGACCTTTCGCCATTACATTACTTGACGTAATAACTCCAATGTGCATGATCAGATCCATATCAAACTTTGTCTGTGTGATCACTGACCACATCTCAAGACAGTGACAATGTGGACAGCTGACATCACCTAAGCCTCGCCCCCTGACAACAGGAAGTCGATTGTTTTATGGTGAAATGCCCATATTTGTCCCCTCTAATTTAGTCAACATGACACTAAGGTCATGCACCGACTTCATGATGCCGTAATGACCATTCAGTTCTGATAGCTTTCCAGAAAGGGAGGGGCTTTGATGCCATGGCGCATTCTGGTGTGACGCCGTGACCTTACGTTTGACTGCAACTTCCACAAACAGCCTCCGATCTGCACAAGACTGAACATGGCAATCAACAATCATGCCCTTTAGCCAATGAGGCCCAAACCGTTGGTGAACATTGTATAATATCACCACAGCGTCCCCTACATAACTTTAAATCTGTAATAACTCGTACAGATGAGGTCACAACTGCACCAAACTTGCTATGTGTCATCACACAAAGACACCCAACACAATCCTGTGGTCATTGGTTGATATTGCTTTAGCCCCGCCCCTGACAGATATTAGGCCCTGAAAAACACATGCATGATGCAATTCACACCAAACTGCACACAAATGATTGTTGTCAACCTACAAACTTCTTCATGGAATATTTCCTAAATTTGGGACAGCGCCCCTTAGATACAATAAAACCTTTGTAACTTCTGCAAAAAAGCTCCAAACTATATCAAACATGGTGGGAGTCATCACACAACTGCAATCAACACATGTATGCGCTCACTTGTTCAAATCGCTTTAACTACGCCCACTTACAGCCTTTTGGCTCTAGATGACCCATGCAATGTTTGATTGATGCCAACTTAACAGAAAACCATCTTTGATGACCAAAGATTACCTCTATGGGATTTAGCTGTAAATGGTCACAGCGCCCCCTAGATGGGTTCAAACTTTATCAACTTCTAAAGACAACGTCAGAATGGCATTATACTTGGCTTGTGTTATCACGTGACTGCACCAAACACATTGATGTGGTTGTTGGTTCAAACCCCTGTAGCTCCACCCCCTTTCGGCTCTCTGGCTCTAGATAACACACACAATGTCTGATTGATGCCAAAATAACAGAAAACCATCTTTGTCAACCAAAGCTGACCTCAATGGGATTTTTCTGTAGTTGGTCACAGCTCCCCAGCGGACGTGCCCGGGTGCACCAAACTGCCGGCCAGGCCGGAGTGGCGCGGAGCTGCGAGGGCCGAATGACGCTGCTTGCAGCTTTAATTGATCTTCTTTTTCTGCAGCGGTTTTATCGCTTTTCTGTGCACCGCTGCTGATACAGCGTCCCTGTAGTGGCGCAACGCCGCAACTGCAGTTAAAATAACATCCATATAGCTGGAGGCAGAGTGAAATCAGGCTGGGGCGGCACAAAATTAGCTGGAGGCGGAGGCGGCCGCCCCGCAAATTTGAATGCAGGAAAATCCCTGAGTGGGAATGTAAAAGAAGACGCAGTAGATGTGAAACTGAAAGCAAACGTGTGTCACATAATTGATGTGATCATTCCAGTGTTTGTAATTAAACAGCATTACTAAAAGGGGAAAACATTACTATTGAAATCAGAATGTACTGTTTAGGGGTGTAACGGTACGCAAGGGGACTGAACCAAACAGGCCGAACTGAAATGGTTCAACGCTCCCCCGTGAGCCGTTACACCCCTAGTACTGTTTTTATGAAGCAAAGAGCACGTTGCCACATGAGGGTGGAGTGAGATGTTTCTGCTGTGTTCTAGGTGATTAAGATGTTTCGGGTGAAACATTTCGGTGCATCCCTAATAAAAAGCATTTGGAGGTTTGTTTGTTTTTATTACCTGTTGGCATATCTTAGTGTATTTAGTGTGTTTTCACAGGAAGCCATTCCAGGTGAAATGGTCGCAATCTGTGGACAGAAAGGTTGATAATGATTAACAGAACTTCATCCAAAACTACCAAGGACCACGCCACAACGGCACATGTTTAAAGGTTTCACGAAGAAAGAGATCCAAGGGATGGATGAGATTCAGCACACACACACACACACACACACACACACACACACACACACACACACACACACACACACACACACACACAAGTGGAAACTGAAACAAGAAGTAATGGAAGGGAAAATAAAATAAGGCAGGGATGAGGAGGGTGAGTTAGATCTGAGCAACCTGCTCTAGACCTGAAGTTAACATCTTAACTCTGTCATTTAGATCAGATGTGATTCAGTCGACTGTAGGCTCAGAGCCACAAGCTCGTGATGAACTTTTGGGTTATTTTTCTTACCATACATGTTCTGGAGTTTTCTCCTATGAAGGAGTCCCTCAGCACTTGGGTTAACTTGCTCGCTCTGAATGGAGTGTGTGGCTTATTTTTGCCCAGGGCTCGGATGCACTCCTGCAGAAACACACCCTAATATTTAACGAACTCCCTTATTTATGCTTCTAAATGTTTCCATAGGGAAAACACAGCTGCAGCTTTCAGCTCAACTTAGCCAACTCATGAACAAAGCTGCTTTCCTGCTAAAATATTTGTATCCAGCCCAGGCATTCTCCTGATCTAGCAGTATTCTGTTAGCTTTAGCGTAGCACAAATCATGTAAGTGAATGGTAACAGCTAGCATTTCATGTGAAAAATTCACTTCATTCAAATCAATTAAATTCAAAGATAATTTATTAATCCCTGAGGGAAATTACTTAATAATGATCATACATTTTTGGTGACCTCAATAATCGTATCGACTGGAAATTAAAATAATAAGCAACACAGAAGAGTTGCAGAAGCCGACGTAGATTTGGGATTAAATTATGGCAAAGTCTGGCTGTAAGCTGCTGCTGCACAACACAAATATATGTGTGGTAAAGGAACAGTGTAATGAGTAGGTGTTGTATCAACTAGTCGACTTCACTGCTCTGTAGTGACTTTTTATGCCTTTCATAGAATAGCCGCTGTCACGTGATAATGGCCGACAAGATGCAGTCCTCGGAAAAGACAGCAGGTGATGAGTCCCTGCTTGTCAGGAGGCGACTCACTGTGCCAGAGCGTCAGTATCTGACACCCGCCGTAAAACGGACATTTGACCAAATTGTGACCTTTACTCTCTTGCAATTTGACCTTCCCTTCACCCCCATCCTAACCTTAACCAGCTCAAAGCTCTGATCGTTGACGCGCTCCAGACATCTGCGTCCTGAGCACGGCGCAGTAACATTATCAAATCAGGTGTTGCCACCTCAAAAACAAATTCAACACGCGATCGTTCATGTCGGCTCATTTCCTTTTATGTTTACTGTCTTTTATTTGTGCCTGATGCGTTTCGCTGCTGTGGAGTGGAGCGCATCACCTGTTTCGTTCTCTGATGATTTTACCTCACCGGTGCGGCCGGCACGCACTCCGCTGTTTTTGCGGTCGGTAGATCTTTTAGAACTGCACAGGGGGAGGGGTGGAGGGCTGAAGCAAGATGCAGAAACTACCGTTGTCAAAAGAGATGTTTAACTTAGAAAATGTGGGCGCAATTTTAATTGTCAGAAACTTCAGCAAACCCACCCACTTCAGGTGTATGACATCATCAACGACTAGTCAAAGTCGACTCAATTTTCATTACTTGACGGTCGACTTAAAAAAAAATTAAGTCATGCAGCCCCTAGTAGTGAGTGGACATGTCTCAGCTGGGCTGACGCTTTTTCCCACTTATCTAACTGAGGAACATGGCGACAGACTAATTTTCAGTTAAAGGTGGAATATCCCTTTAAAAAAAACTTCCTTTAAATTCAGAAGCAGGACTGAAGCCCCGGGCGTCCAGGCAGAACCAAGCTAGTGGCAGAAGTCAATCAGGGTAACCGACTCAGACCTTGAGTGCCAACAGACTCTTGTTGATCTCTGCTCCTTCCAGTCGAGTCTGGCGGTCAGCGCTGGACGTGTCCGCCCCTCTCTCATTCCCCGCCAGGTCAATAAGGGAGAACTTTCCATGCATCTTCCCCCGCCGGCGCAGGATGATCTGGAACACGGCGTGGCTACGAGAGGAGTGGGCGTTGGCAGACGTCTGACCGGAAGTCCTAAAGGAGGAACAGAGAACCATCACACACACGCACACACTCGCTGTTATTGACTATAATCTCCTCTGGTTTTTACCTGCAACTGTTCCCCATCTCAATAAGCTTGAGAACGTCCTCGGTGCATTTCACCTCCCTCTCCTGCAGCCCCACCACCTGCACCTGCTGCTTCCCATCCTCCAGCACCCGTAACTTGGCCTTACGGTTCAGCAGGTCAAACACCTGTAAATCACCACACATTCAAAGGATCTGCATCCCTTCGCAGTTTATAGCAGGACGGACACATCACTTTGGTACCACTTTACAACAACAAGGCTCTCCTCGTAAAGGGCTGATAAATAGTTCAGAGATGTTGCTGCGACTTTCCTCCCCGAACACAGACCGTGGGTGGAGAATCCCAGAGAACATGTTTGGAGACACTACATCACCAGAAAAGTTAGTCCTAATACCCTGAACATTCATCCAGATGGGTGCACCTGAGTTAGGTAAATAACCTGAAACCACACCACAGGAAACCCAGAGCACCTGTGCCACCTTAATAAACATGAGTTTTAATGCGTATTAATTCATCTCCATTGATTAGGAGCGAGAAACTGACTGGTTTCGTCCCAAATAGTGAGCCAAATCTGTTCACCTATTTATTTAATTTAGAGTAAACAATTAAATAAACATTTCAGACTAAGTTACTACCTTTTAGACACAAAGAGCATTTGGAAACATCAAACATCAGCAAACTATCAAAGAGAGCTTTGTAAAGTGGGACCTTAACATCTACATTCATCAGCAGTGAGTAGAACCATGCAGTAAATACTAACTTTGCCACTGTAGATCTCAAAAAACGTGGCAAAAACTTGCAGATCCAACTTCTTATAGGCAGGTTTCTTCAGCATCAGAAAAACGTCTCTGGCTGCAGAAAGAAATGCAGACAATCTGAATGAATGAATGAATGAATGAATGAATGAATGAATGAATGAACGAATGAATGAATGAAGCAGCTGTGAAGCCTGTGGAGTATAGGAGACTGACCAGACAGTGCATAGATTCCTTTAGAGCAGTCCTGGTTTTTTCCAGAAAAGTCTCCTCCCATCGTCTGAAAGGAATTGAGTCACAACATGACAGACAAACTAAACACAACCGCCTCTCAAGCACAAATCGAGGCACTCACGTGCGTTTTCCCGCTTCCAGTTTGTCCGTAAGCAAAGCAGGTCGCCATGCCCCTCTCAAAAATGGTCTCAACCAGCGGCTGAGCGGTGAACCTGCAGCAGAGAGGGGGTGGGGTTGTTCAGCGTCTGCATTTTGGTGCAGGTGGAGGAATCCACCAGGCGTACCTGTAAACCATTTCATTGGTGGAGTTCTCATCAAAAGCATAATCGAAGCGGAAGGTCTGATTCTCCAGGTAGCGAGTGAGGTCGACTTTCTGCTTTGGCTCGTGGACCATCACCACGTCTTTACTGGGAATAGTGATCACATCCAGATCCTTCACCGACAGCTCTGAAGAAACAAACACAACCCTTCTGAACCACACCAACACTAAATCCACCTAAAATCCAGTAATCCCGTTTTCTTTTTTATTCTAACTCAGACATAACAAAGAAATGAAAAAGATGTTTCATTATTAGTTAGGGTACATAGTTTTTAAATGTTTTAACATACCTTCAAAAATTGCTTGAACTTGACTTTCTGACGCTGTTCTACGACACAAAGTAGGTCATCTTTCTGAATTTCTATTTCCCCTAAGTCCCTCCCCTGACTTTTACATCAAAACAAATCTTTCATGTGAGCCTAAAGGGTTGACCAATAGAGTTGCATATCCACAAGAGTTAGGCCCGTGAAGTATTTATACCTTTCTCAGTGGCCTAGTGGTAGAGTGTCCGCCCTGAAACTGGAAGATCAGGGGTTCGACTCCTGGTCGGGTCATACCCAAAGATTTTGAAAAAATGGGACCCAACGCCTCCCTGCTTGACACTCAGCATTAAGGGGTTGGATTGGGGGGTTAAACCACCAAATTGTTCCCGAGCGTGGCTTGTCTGCAGCTCACCACTCCCCCAGGGGATGGGTCAAATGCGGAGAATAAATTTCGCACACACAATTCTGTGTGTGACAACTAATGGGACTTTACTTGCTGTTTGACGACGCAAACGCATGTTTAAAATGGCTGCCATGCATCACTTGCATTGATTTGAAGCGTCGTTTGTGCGCATCCCCCGAAATTAACGCAATGCCTCCGAACGCTGCAATACACACAAGTAACCAGTAGGTGGAGTCAACAAAAGAGCGACACACACTCACTATGGTGACTCCGTCTCTGGTTTAGAGGTCTTTCACACCATCTACGATACCGCTGCTGTCTATTGTTCTGTTGTGAACTCAAATTTAACCAGTTACTGATCTCTTCTATTGACGCCATATTTGTTTCGGTTGTACCCACAAACCCAGCCCTCTGTCTGGTCTGAATTGTCAAGTGTGCCACCTAGTGGAACACTCCAGTACTACGTACAGTACAGTGCTGTGTAGCAGACACCAGGTCAAAGAGAAAGTATACCACACCCCAGGTCCCAGCATGCACTGCAAGGGTGACGGCTGAAGAAGCTGGACAACTGAAATGATGCAACTAAAGCAAAAAATAATGTTACAGTTTCCTCGACTGCCTTCGATTTCACCAAGAAATTTTAAACAGTTTAAAAGCAGTTTTGCAAAACTCTCCGTGAGATGTTTACGACCGCTAGGAGATGCTTTTCAAAGATGGAGGGAGCTTAAGCCCATCCACACTAGCACGGGCTCTACTCTGCCCAGATACGGTAGGAAGTGTTGAAGTGTCATTTTTTTCAGCCATCTTCCCAAGGTGGTCTGCTTCGGCTTGAACTGGTCCAACACACCCACTGCTGACTGACTGGACCGGCTCAAATTCACTACTACCACTAGGGGGCGCCTCCCATTTGCAGATAGAATGAGCCAGTGAGGGCCTCCTGCATGCGAGATTCATTATCATTCTGGATACTGAGGAGTAAACAGCACCTCTGACTGAAGTTGTCTCTTTTTCTCTGTCAATCTCTGAGGAGCACACACACACACACACACACACACACACACACACACACACACACACACACACACACACACACACACACACACACAGCGCTGCCAGGCTTGAGCTGCCCAGTGGGAGGACAGACACAGCAGGATGCAATATCAGAGTCAGAGTCTCCAAAAGCAATACTGTTCATGTCTGCCTTTGTTAAATGTAAGGGTGACACAGCAGACTTCTCTGCACGTCTTTTGCCCCACCCGCCCGCCCACGTGCTTGGAGATGCGCTCATGACATCACTGATATCTTTGCTCGCATTCCTAAGGATGCGTGGAATTAACCTGGGCAGGCTGGGGCTGACTGCGCCGGCCCTAGTGTGGAAGGGGCTCTAGTGATCTACGGCTCAAAACCAGGGGCGTGTCCAGGGAGTGGCCTGGGGTAGCACATGCCACCCTTGGAATCTGATTGGCCACCCCAGGTGCCAACACACTACTTTACCTTTAAATAGGCTTTGCATTGTCCACAAAAGACTTGGGGGTAAAACAAAAAAGCATAACCATTGGTGCCACCCTTGGACAAAGCTGTGCCTCACCTGGGCCACCCCATTTTAAAAGATCTAGACACGCCACTGCTCAAAACAGATGAAGAGCTGATAAAGATACTTATGGACAGATAACTACTTAGTAAACTATTGTATTTTAGAGAATTGTAACCATATTTGAATTTGAATAACATAAATAATAATGCAGATAATTGTTGTATGTGGCATTTAGCGTAGGCTAATATAGCCCTAGCTTGAATGCTAACTACCTAGATTAAATTAATTTCAGTCTCTGATCGTCAAGCCTACTGTGGAAGAGGAGAGAGTAGAACAAAAAGCGATTTATCTTTTACGTATTGGAGCGTGATTAGTGATTAGCTAAATCAAACTAGTGTTCCAGCTCTCTCTGATGACTCGGCGTTCCCTGCGTGTGCACGGTAAGAGGTGTAGCTTTCAGTTCCTTCCAGAAGGGGAGCAGGGTTAGGAGCTTTCGACGTTCCCATTTGAAATTCTCCTCCTCTCCTTGGTCACATCATGCTATGGCCCCCAGCTTTAAGCCAATAAAACTGATCTAAAATCTCCATTTCTTGATAAATTTGTTGATGCAGCTCTTAAACCAAACTAAACTCCATGCAAATGTTAGCGTAGATATAACAAATGTAGACAATAAAAAGATATATGTATAAAGCTAGCCCTACCTTTTTTATTGAGAGGACGTGCACGAACACACACACATATTCTGTGCTCCTCGATCTGAAACATCAAAAAACAAAAAAGGTCATGAAGCTTCCACCTGCCAAAGATGAAGGGATCTTGCTAAGTATCAAGAAAAATAACATAGAGAAAGACAGGACATTAAAATTCATTCATCTACTTTAGTTCCTCCTCCTCTCGTCGGCTTTACTCCATTTTTTCTGTCTGTAACTTTGAACTTTCGCTTCTCTCTCAGTCCCTTCTTCCTCTCTTCCCTCTCCTGTTTCAGCAGTTTCTCTCTGTGCTTTGGCCTCCTACGGGAGGTGGCCGACAGCAGACTCACCACATCGTTGGATGTTAAAGGTCTGTAGTCCAGACTGGCTCGGAAGTCTCTGATCATACACATGATCTCATAGTTTGGTAAATTGACGTCAACTTCCTGAAATGGAAAACAAAGAGAGGAGAAAGGAGAAATTACATCAATAAAAATAACACACCAGACAAAACAATGAGACTTCATCATTTATAAGATTACTGTTGCGTCTCAAAGTTACAGCAGGAGTCAATGTGACTTCACATCGGACTAACATATGATTTTGTTTTGTTTTCAGAGTAGAGCTGCTGCTCCTTCATGCTGACAGGAGCTAGCTGAGGTGGTTTTGGCCACAGCAGAAGACTTGATGAAGAGGATGGTCGCTCTGCTGCTGCCCTCATCTACAAGGTACGAGGAGTTTTATACTAACTTGAGCCTTCTTTTCTCGGAGCTCTTGCTGTTGAAGTCGCCTCTTCTCTCGTTTCTCCTGCAATTTCTCAACCTCCTTCACACAGTTGGATTTCCTTCGTGCTGAAAAAGAACAATCGTGTTTTTCTCCTTGCTGTTGTGGGAAAGTGCAATCACCTAATCCACCAAGCATTTCAAAACAAGAGTAAAAACCAACAGGAGAAAAGCCTCGGGACATTTTTGGGGTGCACAACCCTGATGTTCAGCTGTGTTTTTCATTGTAGACATGCCCAACCCCTAAGTTATGGTAAAAGTGATTAATCAGGCTTCACAAAGATATTCACGTGCAAATAAGAAGTGTCACGACAAGGAAATAATCAACCAAACTTACATTTCTTAACGTTTTGAGCCAAATTCAAAAATAAGCCTTTTTCTCAAAACCCTGGATCTTGTACAACAAATTAATGTTTTTGTTCTGGAGTTTTTAACCTCTGAGTCGCATAATGTCGACATAACCTGAGACCACTTTCATCAGTTTAACCTTTTTAGGTCTTACTGATTCTAAAGCAGCGGTTCCCGAACTTATTTAGCCGTGTACCCCTAACACCCTTGAATCTCTATGTGTGTGTGTGTGTGTGTGTGTGTGTGTGTGTGTGTGTGTGTGATTCTAAAGCAGCGGTTCCCGAACTTATTTAGCCGTGTACCCCTAACCCTAACACCCTTGAATCTCTATGTGTGTGTGTGTGTGTGTGTGTGTGTGTGTGTGTGTGTGATTCTAAAGCAGCGGTTCCCGAACTTATTTAGCCGTGTACCCCTAACACCCTTGAATCTCTATGTGTATGTGTGTGTGTGTGTGTGTGTGTGTGTGTGTGTGTGTGTGTGTGTGTGTGTGTGTGTGTGTGCGCGCGCACGCGGCACAGCTCCATGAGCCGCTCCAGTCACCGCGTCTCGTTATTGGCGCTATTTAAACCAATGTTGTAAAATTACTTATGCACACCCGTGAGCCGTGGTTCCGCTGGAACGCGTCTGACCTCTGACAGACGCACTCTGAACTTCAGATCTTCAGCGCGCTGTTAACAGCCTGAGACGTTTAGAATGCTGTCCCACGGTCAGTGTGCTAATATAATAATATAATAATGCTAAAATGCTCAGATGGGAATCATTTCTTGATTTATTTTGTTACATCCACAATATTCTGTGTGTGAGGTTTACAATGTCAGAACACCTGCATGAGACAGGGTGTTAATTACAATCTGCCAGAATGACTCGCCACCTTCAGATTCCTCCAACATCGTTAAAAATGATCAAATACGGAACATAACGGCGTGCGCAGGCCAGAGTGCTGAAGCTCGGCGCATTGTTATTATGAAGCTAGAGCACATGCGGAGGACACACACACACACACACACACAAAATATACTTGTTTTCAATTACATTTATTGGGCCCACTTACTTTTTCTTAGGCCCACCCACAAATGAGTTTCTGGCTACGCTAATGGTGACATCTGACAGACTTCTCTGAGCTCCGCAGCCATTACACTTTTCACCTCGCGCACCCCCTAGCGGCAGCTCTCGCACCCCCAGGGGTGCGCGCACCACACTTTAGGAATCCCTGCTCTAAAGCAATGGTTTGGATATTTTTAAGATGGTATCTTTGGAAATGTAAACAATTGTAAACATGTCAATATTTATATAACGTGAAATAAATGATGGTATGATCATTTAAAATGAACACTTGCATGAACTGCAGTAAATCTTTGAGATAAGACTTTATTTAAACCACTTCCTAACCAGGGGCGTGTCCAGAGAGTGGCCTAGGGTAGCACATGCCACCCTTGGAATCTGATTGACCACCCCAAGTGCCACCACACTAATTTACCTTTAAATAGGCTTTGCATTGTCGTCCAAAGGCTTGGGGGTAAATTTAAAAAAGCATAACCATTGGTGCCACCCATGCACAAAGTTGTGCCTCACCTGGGCCACCCCATTTTAAAAGATCTGGACACGCCACTGTTCCTAATTGGCTCCACTGTGACTAGCCATCCAGCCCTAAATAATCTCTGTTTAACAAAACTGAGGCTGTTCACGGATCTATCTCCAACTCTAACATATTAATCATTCATTTGTAACCTTGTAACCCAGAAACACACTACAGCAGGTCTGGGCTGTTCTTTAATGCCACTTCCATCTACATCTGAATACAGTTGAACTGCGGGGTTAACGTATGAGTGATAAATGATTACACCATCAAACCTATTCACATAAAATACCACAATAATTTATCTTCATTAAAGGGACTTTACAGAGTTTTGAATTTTTATGCTCGCGATTGCCCCCTCAGGCCAAAAGCTTAACGGTAGCTTCAATAGTAAGCTCGTGCACGAGGCGCGCATGCTGTACGTGCACACTCCTTAACGAAAATAACAGCTGAGACAGTCCCGTGTGTGTGTGCGTGTGTGTGTGTGTGTGTGTGTGTGTGTGTGTGTGTGTGTGTGTGTGTGTGTGTGTGTGTGTGTGTGTGTGTGTGTGTGTGTGTGTGTGTGTGTGTGTGTGTGTGTGGCCCGGAGGACAGAGGACAGGAGAACGCGCAGCTAATTAATTAAATAATTTGGTTCTGTACCTTTCTCTTCAGCACAGCCGACAAAGGTTTAAGATGGGTCAGTCCTCCTGCATGCTCAGATCATTCCCTTCCCTTGCTTGAAAAATTCTTCCAAAATGAAAGTTGAACCCACATCTTTTTTATCTGTGAATTCAATGCCGTTCGGCGAGTCTCAAATAAAAATTTGGGCATCTTACTGTAAAAAAATATACCATTAATGTAAAAAATAAACTCTAAATAAATTACGTTCACATCCAGAATCGGACCCGGGTCTTCTGCACGAGTCCACCGTCTTACTGGGTGAGCTATAGGGGCAGTAATGTCTTTTGAATCTGTAACATTTATATCCTTGATGACAGCTGAAACAACGTTCAAAGAACGGTTCTGAGCGAAAATGGCTATTTTGTTGCTAATTTGCAGGAAATATCTAGAAGAAAGTAGCTAAGGGTCCTCAGAAATGTAGCTAGGTTCATCGCTAGGCATTAGGAACAGCGACAAAGTCGCTGAGTTGGCACTACCTCTCTCTCTGCTGCTAAAGCTACTGATAGCAAATGCTACGGGCGATGCCTGAGCGTGAACGCGCATGAAGCAGCCTGGTCGTCCCGAGCAGCTCTCTTTTTCTGTGATTCTACAGAAAAACAGGTAATCACAGTAAAAATGCCAGGGCTCATTCTACAGGACCAGGGCATTGCAGGAGAATGTATGAAGAAGAAATTTATTATTTCTATACATGTTTTGGCTGTCAAACTTCCATAATGCCCCTTTAAGACCATTAAGCACAAATAATGATAAATTACACATAGAGACAATTAACATGTGGTTAATTAAGTCTGGCAGAAAAAGACAACACAGCTTCGGGTTTAAACACGATACACACTTAAAATTAATCTTTGCATAAAAAATCCTTTTAGAGCACTTTCATTAAAATAATAAATGACACTAATGTAAGTCTGTAATAATTGGGAGAGCTGAATCGGTTTCCTAACGTCTGCCAGGCTGAAGAACACCTTGTTTTAGGAGCGTGAGAAGGCAGCGTTCACACACCAGAGGGTGCTAAAAACAAGAGAAAAGTCTTCTAGGTGCTGTAAAAGAAACATTTAAACAAGATTGTTTCCACTGAGTTGGTTTTGTTTTCTTTAAACCTAAAATAAGTTTGAAATTTTGCTTTTTCGGAGGTGATCTTGAATCTACATTTAGATGTTTCCAAACAGCCACCGAGGAAAACTGGGACAAGTGCTGAAATGTGAGGCCGGAAGCAGTGAGAGGGACTTTGACGTGGAGCACACAGCTGTGTGGGAGCATTACATCACTGCTTCTGGCCGCTGCACAACAGAAAACAAAACAACAGAGACAGAGGACGCAGCCACGGAACACAACAGAGTGTCAAAACGGAGCCACGTGAATGTGTGTGTGTGTGTGTGTTACCGTTCTGCTGCTGCATCAGTGCCTGGTTGACTGCAGACTGTGGGGCGATGGAGGGCGGAGGTGGCTCTGCAGCTTGGCTGTGCTGACTGGGACGGGCCCGGGTGGTTCCCACTGCTGCAGCTGAGGAGGAAAACAGTTTACTCTGATCACTTTCAACAAATATGGAACAAATCCACTAAATAATTATTCTTTATGCATTTTTGATCATTTTAATAAGAAAAAGACAATAAATTATGCCTGCTGTGACTAAACTGGGATGTCTGCGATCAGACTATCAGTAAAATATACCAACAGTCCATGGGTCTCATTTATCAAACATTGCGTAGAATCCTTACTAAAACCGTACTTAAGCTCAGCAAAAAAAATGTACTTACGCCAAGTAGGTTTGTGATCTATCAAGCATGGAGTACGCACAGCTGCACGTAATCTCTGCTTCATAAATCGAAGACTAACGAGAAAGTTTCTCAGCTGCTTTTAGTCACATCCCGCCCTCACCACGCCCACTTACTGCCATAAATAGTTAATGCAAAGTGCTTTGTGGATCTCATGCATATACATAAGCCGGCTGTTGCAGCATTTCGATCACGGCCACAGATCAAGGAAGCGCAATTTCACAAGCAGAAATTGCGGTACTTGTGGGTGAGGTGGAGAAATGAAAGGAAGTGCTTTTGCAAAACAAATAAGAGAAAATCCACGGAGTGGCACAGCGTTGCTGAAGCCGTCAATGTTGTGAATTCTTCAGAGATCTGCGGCGGATATAAAAAAATGGTCCAATCAGGATTTGATCCCCAGACTCCCGGGTGAAAGTCACGCATGCTAACCAGTCAGCCAAACAGAGATCTCCCTTGTCCAAGGAGCCAGGGCGCATGATCAATCGGGTCACAGTGACAGGACACACACTGTCACAGACGCATGACATTCTGTCTCAATCTGTCCCCCGCTGATATTCTGCATTCCGTATTCTGGCTTCAGGCGCGTGTGGGGGGTCTTGTTCTGTGTGAAAACGAAGCGGTACAAGTGATAATGCTGCAGGATTTCATACTTTTGTCCTTCTCAGCAGCAGCACTGCAGGTGCTCTCCATGTCCAAAATGTGCGTAAGCAAGGTCCTTAGCCAACTTAAAGTTGTGCACATTTTTCCGCTAAGGTTTCATTCATATATCCCGAAGTTTGCGTGGAAAGTTGCTTACGCAGTTTTCCGACCCCGTTTTGTGTGTAAGCAAGCTTGATAAATGAGCCCCCTGGCTGTTTGTGCAAATGCAGTCAGTGGTTCTGGTTCATGTGACAGAATTTAGTGGATGTTTTAACAGACGAGGAGACTGGGACCTGGAGTGAGGAGAAAGCAGGATCCACGACCAATTACACCTTTCAGAACATACAAAATAATGAATAAGATGCTCATTTTCTCCAGGGGTGTCCACCTCCATTAGTCCCTGGTTGAGGGAGGGACATGTCTCCAGTCCATCACAGGGACACAGAGAGACAAACAACCAGTCACACACTCACTCACATTTAGACAGGATTCTCCAGCCACTCTAGTGTGCATGATTTTGATCTGTGGGTGGAAACCAGACAAAATCCACATATGCTTGGGGAGGACGGTCTAACTCTACGCAGAAACGCCACGGGATTCTAACCTGCAATCTAAGACAGAAAACTTGTCACCCCTCTGTTCATTGAAATTCATTGGCTAGCTGCACACATCAAATTGCTAGCGCTGGCATACAAAGTCCTGGATGGTACGCCTCCCATCTAGCTGAATCCTCTAACATCACGGCCCAGCCGCTCCAGTCATCAAAGGATCGTCGGCTAGCAGTGCCTTCACCACGCTCAGGACAATCCAGACTCTTTTCATATGTCGTTCCACCGATGTGGAATGACCTACCAAGTTCTACTTGAACAGGGCCGTCCTTTTCGATTTTCAAGAAACACCTGAAAACCCAGCTCTTCAGAGAGCATCTTCTAAACTAGCACCCTCCCTGCACCCGTCCCCCACCCTACTGCACATTCCTGGTTCACTTCCCTCTATGACTCATCATGCTGCCTCACTGCCACCTAGGATTGACTGACTAGTGTTTGCTGTTAGCCTCAAGGGCAACCTGCTAGCTTTATCATCACTTGTAAGTTGCTTTGGACAAAACCCACTGAGCAAAGACATTGTTTGGACGTCCTATAGACGTGGGCTGGACAGACAGACTCAATATAGACATGATCTGTACGTCTGTGCAACGTTGACTGTTTGCAGGGAAGCATCTGCTAGATACATAAACAAAAACGTAAAATTAGTGCCAGACAAAGCTAACAGTATAATAAAGCTGACCAAAATAACAGAAAGCACACTGAACCAGTAACTAAACCCGAAAATCATGAAGCTAAAGTACTTAGCTTAATAAGGTGTGTGTGTGTGTGTGTGTGTGTGTGTGTGTGTGTGTGTGTGTGTGTGTGTGTGTGTGTGTGTGTGTGTGTGTGTGTGTGTGTGTGTGTGTGTGTGTGTGTGTGTGTGTGTGTGTGTTGAGATCGATTCGATGCTAGGCACCAGTTACCTCCCACTCAGTCAGTGGCTCAAACGTACCTCTGTTTTCCCGCTGAGTGTTTTCAGGCTTCGGTATCGCTGTGGTTCGTCGGGTCTAAAGAAAAAACAGTTGCATGTTGAACATTAAACAGTTTAAGGTTCGTTTCTATTTTACTGTAGATGCAAAAACGTATTAATCACTAAGAAGTCAGATTTTTTAGACTCACGCAATTCATGATTATTTTTGCTCATTTTTAAAAAAGCACATTTTCCATTAAAAAGTCTCTTCTCAGGATCAGGTCCTGCCCCAAGTGGAGGAGTTTAAGTATCTTGGGGTCTTGTTCACGAGTGAGGGAAAACTGGAGCGTGAGATCGATGGGCGGATTGGAGCTGCATCTGCAGTAATGCATGCGTTGTACCGGTCTGTCGTGGTGAAGAGAGAGCTGAGTCAGACGGTGAAGCTCTGGATTTACCGGTCGATCTACGTTCCTACCCTCACCTATGGTCACGAGCTTTGGGTAGTGACCAAAAGAACGAGATCCCGGGTACAAACGGCCGAAATGAGTTTTCTCTGCAGAGTGTCTGGGCTCTCCCTTAGAGATAGGGTGAGAAGCTCGGTCATTCGGGAGGGGCTCGGAGTAGACCTGCTGCTCCTCCACATCGAGAGGAGCCAGTTGAGGTGGCTCGAGCATCTGGTCAGGATGCCTCTTGGACGCCTCCCTGGTGAGGTTTTCCGGGCATGTCCAACCAGAAGTAGGCCTAAAGGGAGATCCAGGACACGTTGGAGGGACTATGTCTCTCACCTGGCCAGGGAATGCCTTAGGATTCCCCGGAAGAGCTGGCCCAAGTGGCTGGGGAGAGCCAAGTATGGGCCTTTCGACTTAGGCTGCTGCCCCAGCGACCCGACTATGGATAAGCGGATGAAATTGGATGTATGGAATGTCTCAATCACTCATTATTTTACATGTCTACAGGTCCTATTTTGTGTGGAATAAAGTTCCGGCGATCCTGTAGAAGAGGAGTGGGAGGCAGAAAACTCCTGGATTACGAATCTCATTAGTATCCACGATATGCAAACATCTCACCTCTGATTGGCTAATAGCAATGCAACTCTTCTGCTGCCTTTGTTGACAAAACTCAGAATACTGTAAAACATATTCTCTTGGGTACAAAATACAACGCTGATGATTTATCTCCACTAAAAACACACGCCTGTTCCACCATGCTGTGTTGTTGCTAACGGTTAGCTTCTACTGGCAGAGATGTGCTCCTGGCAACTAAAACAACACAGCCTTCCACCGTCCCAAATCAATGTGGGCGGGGCCATGAATGCTGATTTTCCCTGGGACGTAGAAGAGACAGGCTTTTTCTGATCTGATCATTTCTCATCGATTATTTCAGCGGCTAACGCGAGAGCGAGCACTACACTGTTTCTCACTGAGCGAGAGCTTTCATCCAACCATTTTCAGCCGCTTATCCACAGTCGGGTCACGGGGGCAGCAGCCTAAGCTGAGAGGCCCAGACATCCTTCTCCCCAGTTATTTGGGCCAGCTCCTCCAGGGGAATCCCAAGGTGTTCCCTGACCAGCTGAGAGACATAGTCCCTCCAGCGTGTCCTGGGTCTTCCCTTGGATTTCCTCGCAGTAGGACATGCCCGGAAAACCTCACCAGGGAGGCTTCCAGCAGGCGCCATTTGGAATTCTAGGATGTCCAAGGAAGATCCCACCTTTCTCTTCTCTGATTGGCTAGAAAGGCTCCACTACTGTGTCCTGCCACCAGCAGAAAGCTGCTTTGGGGAGTTTAGTAAAGAAAATGTGAACTTAGCGCTATAATAAACATTCTGTCCTGGTTTGCAAAATATTTTATGTTTCATTAAAAACTGAAATACATAAAATGTGAATTTTAAATCTTGTTGCATTTATCTAACTGTTGGACTTACTTTATATCTCTTGGCTCTGAAGCATTAGAGTACATAGGATAAACATATGCGCCTTGCCTGGGTATGACATTTAAAACTGCCCTATTCTGCCAAGCTGAGTGCATCAGGTCTGCTTCTTCTCTAGAATAATGAAAACTGGTGAAAAATAGGTCGAAATCATAATCAGCTGTAACTTAATTTTTGATTAAATGATAAACATTTAATCTGATGATGAGAGAGGTGCTCTAACTTGTAAACAGCCTCAACCTATTAAAGCAGGATAGCCTAATATGGAAGTAATAAGATAACCCCAATAGAGCCAACAGATATAAAGTCAGTCTACAGTGTGATAAATGCTACAAGAATTATTACAAGTTCACATTTGATGTTTTTCAGGCTTTTTAATGAAAGAAACTGAACCTGGTTTGTTGCTAAACAGGAAAGGATGTTTATAATAGCAATGAGTTCACATTTTCTTCAAAAAACTCCTCAAGATCTGGCTGTAAAAGTAAAAACCTGCAGCGAGGGCAAACTGTTTCCTCTGACACGAAATAGCCAATCGTAGTAGAGCCCTTCCAGCCAATCAGAGGCGAGAAAGACGGGACCTTCCTTGGACATCCTACATTTCCAAATGTCGTGTCCAGCAGGCATCCTGGAGCGAGAGCTTTAAAAACTCAGTGGTTTCCATTGATGCAAATCTACTAAAATGTAAAAATTAGCAGGTATTTTCTGTTTTGAGAGATTCCATGAAGGTCTCACTGTATTCAAATCAAACTGTCTTTGCAGGATCTTGTGAAAGAACTCCACGTGAATATTTTAGAGCAGAAATGTTGTTCTTGATAAATAAACAAAACCATGCCTACAAAAGTGTTTTAGAATGAAATTAATTAATTCCTTCAAAAATGACGTTAGGAGGTAAAATCATGCTTTACTCAAATCCCACACAGTAATCCTCGAGGAGCGGACCTTTGGAACTCGACCGGTTTTGGCGACACTGGACGGAGGAAGAGGAGCTTCAGGACTCTGTGGGATTTCTTCATCAGGACCAATGTCTGGATTCAAAGCAAAGACGCTCTCCAGATCAATCTGAGGAACAAATGAGACTGAGATGATATTGTGATCGTGACAGACAGATTTCAAGAGGAGCTGGAGAACAGAGAGCTGAGCAGGATCTGGTCAAGAGGAAAACCTCAGTCACCGTCCAGCTCTTCCATCTAGAGCTGGGGTCTGCAACCGTTACCGAGCTGTTTCAGCCCTTCAGTCCACCTTCATAAAAGTTTTTCAGAGTCACAAATGTTACGGGACCTTTAAAAAAACAGGACTATTTATACTCTATGAGGAGGATTAGAGCCACTGGAAAAACAGTTTTCTCCAACTTCTGAGAAAATCACGAGAATTCTGATTAAAATCAGGACTTTTTTCCCCTCTTCTGTAAATGTCGACTAAAAGATTTGTTGTCTTTTTTGAATTGTCACCATTTTGTTACTTATTATTAGATTCTGAAATAAAATTTAAAAAATGCACATTTGCTAAAGGAATAAGCTGTTTTTCATCGGATGTTGATATTTGTGGAAAATGATAAGAAAAAACCATAATAGTTCTAGAAATATTACTTCCTTTTGGCGTCATTGTGGACATTCAATGCAATTACACCATGGAAAAGCTGCTGAAACTTGCATTTGTAATCATATTTATATGAAAAAATTATGAAGAGCCATTGTAGAAGGTCCAACGAGCCGCTTGTCATTCCAGAGCCACAGATTGCAGACCCGTTGTAGAAAAACCAATGAGACGGGGCAGAACTCGCACCACAGCAGATAGAAACTCCTCGAGTATAAAAAGCACACTGAGAGGTGCCATGTGACCTCTTTTTTTTATTCTCATTAACAATGTGAAACAACATGGCTTTCAGCCACTGCGATGTGAGATACTGACAGGAGTAATGTGTTGTTTAAAATCACATTTTAAAGAAAGTTGCTTGAGTTGCACAAAGCATCAAGTTCCTCTTAGGAAAAGATGCACCGATTCTGGGTTTGAGGGCTGATGCCGATAACCAGCGTGCAGCTCTGACCTTTTATCGCTGAGTTATCTCAAAGACCTATAAATAGAATTCTTTATTTTAATGCAATAAACAGGAAAAATCTGGGCTTGGAAACAAATACGCTCCCCATAGAAGATCTGTTATTGCTGGTTTTAATTAGCACTAAGTGACGATGAGTTCACAGACCAGGAAAAATGTCAGATTTATTTCACTTCTGCTCACAAATAGTGGATTCACCAAACAAAATAATAATCATTTGAATCACAAATTAAGTGGATCATGATGAAAACTGGTTGATTCCAATTAGCAGGTCTTTGTTTTACCGGTCCGACTCTAACAGGCAGTAAAGTTTTTGCCTTATCTGCCAGCAAAATACTATTGGACAGGCTTGAAAAAAAAAACTCAAGTGAATTTTACACACATTGAGGCAAAGTTTTTATATAGCACCAATTCACAAGAGGTCAACTTAAAGGTCAACTTCAATGAAAAACATTTTTAATGATAATTTCTGATTGTAATGCGTCACTCTGAGTATTTCATGCAGGCTGAACATGAAAATAGTCTCCTACACCTATCTCCTGCATTAGCTTCTGATAGAAAACAGACAGCCTGATAGATGCACGTCACACTGTCACTTAACATTCATGGACTCACCCATCTTGGCTCATGACGGGGAAGGCTGTTGTTGGTTTAGCGACCAGAAAAAAGCAGAGAACATCTCGGCTAGTAGAAGCTAATCATTAGCAATAGCAACTCCACCACACAGCAGAACTCCTCCAGGCTTGTGTTATTTGTGGAGATAAAAAGTCAACATTGCAGAGCAAACTGAGTCAGAGGTAGAGTCGTGTTGCTGTTAGCCAATCAGAAGTAAGATGTGCAAAATCGGGAAATAGTAAGTAAATTTCATCTATCACTGAGGGAAAATTCAGAGTGCTTCATAACAGGACAATAAGACTCCAAATCCTGCCGTATTCAGCTCAACTCTGACCTGACTGACTCCTGGTGCCCCCCCCCCCCCCCCCCCCCGATTTACAAGGCATTCATTCCAGATTCCAGGTCACAGATCACTGGAAGCTCAATGGAAGACAGACCTTCAGTTACTCCAAAGCAAAAGTCAAACAGCTGGAATGACTTCACCCCTGGACACGAAAGAGCTGGAGGAAGCAGGTGTACCTCTTTCCCTTTCGTGTCCCCGTTTTCGATCCACTCCACGGTCACGCTCTCGTTGTCTTCATGCAGTGATGTGACCATGGCCTGGTGTATTCGTCCTGCAGGGCAAAAAGATGTGAGGCCTGCTCAGTGTACATGGGGGCTGTAGAGTCATGAGCACATGTATTATTCTGCTTGAGCCTTCAGTTAGAGTCAATCATTTACAGGAACTCTGTCACAAGTCTAACAGCAATGCTTGGAGTAAATAAACCACAAAAAAAGACACATTTCCTATTTTCACGGTTTATAGACTTTGAATAATAATGGGTGTGGCTGATGAGGAGGCGTTCCTCTGATGTTCAGCACAAAACGCTGTTTTATGGGTGTTAACGTCATCAGAGAAGGGTTTTGTGAAAAAAGGAGCAGCTGGTTTTGGTGCCAGGGAGATAAATGCAGTGAGAGGTGAGGCCCCTCCATGCTGCCACCCATCAGCCTGTGGTGCCTCTCCCTTGTCCCCCCATCCTGAACCGGAGGGGTCTGCCCGGTGAAGCGAAGAGGTAGGGGCAGGTGTTCACGGTGACAGCCGGACAGCGGCGCAGCAGGTGGATGGACCCGCCCGTCCGCCGGCTCACTGTCCGGGACCGGTAGGCCCACCGGCTTCAGCCCGCACGACTCACGCACAGCAGCAGAGTCATAAAACAACACGTTAGTTTATTCAATGGATCTCACGCCTCGCTGTGTGCCGTATGAACCACTACGTCCCGGTTACCGAGCAGCAGAGAGGATAATGTAGCAGCTGGCTAGCTAATGCAGCCTCTGCTCCTCTCATCCTGAGGGAGCGCGTGCGAAGTCAGCCAGCCACGTACCGTCGCTACGCTTGATCTCCACGTAAATACCCACGAAGATCTTCCCGAAGATCCCGGCCATCGCTCCCCGTCTCGCGTTTACTGTCCCGTCCTGCCCAGGTTGAGAGCTGGCGCTGCTGCGGAGGCTGAGGTCACTGTCAGCCGCAGGAGAGGACCGGGGCTGGTGCGCATGCGCGGTAGCTGTCTCCAACCAGCCTCACCTCGCGAGCATCTTCTGATGAAAACTCATCTGTCCTTGATTTTCTTTACAATTGTAGCTTTTTGTCTCCATATATTTTACACTTTCAAAAACCATAATTCAAAAAACAGTCTTTAGTTCATTCAGGTATGTATTTTGCCTCTCTTCATATTTTAGCTGCATGATAACAAGTCTTCCTATTTTTTGACAAGAGGCCAAATAAAAGGTTCAGTTTCATGCTTGACTGAATAGACAGCCTGACAGATGATGTTTGAGAGGAGTCTCCATGGACTGTGATGTTTGCAGGGTGCAGGTAAAGCAAAGCTAAAAGTGGGGATATTTACTGTAAAAGAGAGAAATGAAGATTAGTCACAGTCAGACATAATGCGCGTGTGTGAGGGGGACACAAGTGGAACGGGAATGTTACAATGGGAGGACTTTAGGGACTTACTTACAGTCTAAAGCAGCAGTGAATGTGGAAAAGAGGTGGAGAAGCATGTGAAGCAGGTTGGAATGGGTGGAGAAAGGTGTCAGGCGTGATGTGTGATAAAAGGTTTTCAGGACAGGTGTAGAAGACAGCTAAGAGACCAGGCATGTTGTCTCGTGTCCATGAGGAGAAGACAGGAAGCAGAACTGGAGAGCTCAAGATGTTGAGGTTCTGTTTGGGAGTGACGAGGACAGATAGGATCAGGAATGAGTCCATCAGAGAGACAGCTCATGTGAGATGTTTAGGAAACAAAGTCAGAAAGGACAGGTTGAGATGGTTTGGACATGTCCAGAGGAGACAAATGATCATAGATAGAAGGATGCTGAGGTCGGAGTTACCTGGCAGGAGGCTGAGAGAAAGACAAAAAAGGAGATATATGAATGTGGTGATGATAGAAGATGCAGAAGACAAGATTAAATGGTGACAGACCCCTGAAGAGACAAGCCCAATGAGAATGAAGAAGCTGGTTTTCTCTAAAAATGTCCAGCAGTTGTTGGTAGTTGAGAAAGCTCCTGATGAATTTAAATTTTAACCAATATCTCGTCGTCTCGTCTTCCTCCGCTTATCCGGGTCCGGGTCGCGGGGGCAGCATCCCAACTAGGGAGCTCCAGGCCGTCCTCTCCCCGGCCTTGTCCACCAGCTCCTCCGGCAGGACCCCAAGGCGTTCCCGGACCAGATTGGAGATGTAACCTCTCCAACGTGTCCTGGGTCGACCCGGGGGCCTTCTGCCGGCAGGACATGCCCGAAACACCTCCCCGGGGAGGCGTCCAGGAGGCATCCTGACCAGATGCCCAAACCACTTCAACTGGCTCCTTTCGATCCGGAGGAGCAGCGGTTCTACTCAGAGTCCCTCCCGAATGTCCGAGCTCCTCACCCTATCTCTAAGGCTGAGCCCGGCCACCCTACGGAGGAAACTCATTTCGGCCGCTTGTATCCGCGATCTCGTTCTTTCGGTCATTACCCAAAGCTCATGACCATAGGTGAGGATTGGGACGTAGATCGACCGGTAAATCGAGAGCCTGGCTTTCTGGCTCAGCTCCCTCTTCCCCACGACAGATCGGCTCAGCGTCCGCATCACTGCAGACGCTGAACCAATCCGCCTGTCGATCTCCCGATCCCTCCTACCCTCACTCGTGAACAAGACCCCGAGATACTTAAACTCCTCCACTTGAGGTAGGACCTCTCCCCCGACCCGGAGGTGGCAAGCCACCCTTTTCCGGTCGAGAACCATGGTCTCAGATTTGGAGGTGCTGATCCTCATCCCAGCCGCTTCACATTCGGCCGCGAACCTATATTTTAACCAATATGTTCTTGCAATCTCTGTTTTTAATAACCTTTTATATGGTTCTTAATTGTTTTATTGTTGCTTTTATTGTTTCTTTTTTTCTGTATTAAATGTAATACCTTGTAAATGTAAGCCCTCTGGTTACCCTCTGTGTCAAGCGCTAAATAAGTGAACCGGTTGAGTTTACTGAATGGAGCTCCAGCTGAACTAAAGGAGGACCTCCTCACAGAAAGAGTTCAGCTCACGCGTGCGTGTGTGTGTGTGTGTGTGTGTGTGTGTGTGTGTGTGTGTGTGTGTGTGTGTGTGTGCGTGCGTGCGTGCGTGTGTGTGTGTGTGTGTGTGTGTGTGTGTGTGTGTGTGTGTGTGTGCGTGCATGCAACATTATTTATAATAAATGTAAAATTAAATTTGCTTCCTTATAGTTGACCCACCTTTGAAATAATTAGACTTTGAAAGCGTAAATGAAACCAGACACCTAAATCAAAGGATTTGACGACACGACACATATTGTCAATTTTTATTTTTATTTTGTAGTCTTCATTCTCTGGAGCCCAAAGACATTTTGTTTCATAACAAGATTTTACAGAAATTGTAACTCTGCAGAGTGCTGACTGTTGCCCCTAAAGACCTAGCTTGAATTCATTAGACCACATTCCTAATAATCTACATTTCCCTCCTGTTAACATCTTGTGTTGTGTTACAAAACATAAATGATCTAATCCCCTCTATTCATACAGGAGTGACCCACTGATAAAAATTAATGTTACAGATAAAAAAATAAGCCAGGTTTAAACACAAGATGGCAGCAAATGTCTTCAATGGAGATCTTGTGCATTGTGCCAATAAAGGAGAAATCTATGTAATTTATCACTGGATGTATTATTGTATTTTTGCATATTTACCTGATTCATGACCAACATTCTGAGTGAACGAAACATAAAGGATGATAAAATGAAAACATTTGTCTTCTCCAATAAATAAGTTTGACAAATGTGTAGTGGGGCTGCATCCTGTCGTTCTGCCACTTTGGAAGCCAATCTAACAACCAGTATTTGCAACGAGACTGAGACCAGGGCATTGTCTCAAATAATGTGTACTTAATAATGTGCCAGATGCAAGCCTCCATCACATCATCCAGATTGGATTATTATACCTCTATGTGTGCTGGACAGACTTGGTCAGGCCTTGGTCATGCCTCCATCTAAAAGGCTAGGTTATCCAGAGTTATCTCTGTAGTTATGCTGCTATAGGCTTAGACTGCTGGAGGACATACTGACCACTTTCCACTCTCGACTACTTTCTTCTACAATCTGCTCTTTAACTGTATTATTTCCTGCTATTTCAGCTGTTAACTTTATTTTTTCTCTAAGTGTTTTTCTCCCCAGAAGAAGCTACAATGATGTTCTGCTGAGCTGTGGTGGCCTCATGGAGGGGGCCATCGGCTTGAACACTGTTGCTAACCGCTTAAACATTCTCCCTCTCCTGATAATAACTTTTTGCTTTCTTTGACGTTGGATGTGCTACTGCTAGTTTACCCGTTTAATTATAGATTCACCAGGATAAATACAATAAAGTTTATCTCTCACCAAATAGAAATCACAATGTAACCATAGAAACACTACTTGGTATATATGTTTTGTGTGTGTGTGTGTGTGTGTGTGTGTGTGTGTGTGTGTGTGTGTGTGTGTGTGTGTGTGTGTGTGTGTGTGTGTGTGTGTGTGTGTGTGTGTGTGTGTGTGTGTGTGTGTGTGTGTGTGTGTGTGTGTGTGCGCGCTCTGTCTTCTTGATCCCCAGTGAGTCGTGGAGGATGGCTGCTTATACTGAGCCAGGATCCTCTGGAGGTTTCTTCCTGTTAAAAGGGAGTTTTCCTCTCCACTGTCGCTAAACGCTTGCTTAGTATGAGGATTGCTGTAAAGTCACTGATACTAGTCAGTGACTTGATGCAATTTGCTGGGTTCCTTATATAGGAAACTTTTTTTTCTGATTGGCTTAATGAACTGACCTGTATTGGAACGTTTATTATGTGAAGTGCCTTGAGACGACTCTTGTCGTGATTTGGCGCTATGTAAATAAACTTGAATTGAATTGATTGTAAGGTTACAGCCTGAACAACGCTCTGCTGCCGGGTTCTTGACTGGGACAAAAAGACAAGAGTACTTTGCACCTGTTTTGGTGAATTAGCTCATGCTCCTGGTATATTATCGACTCAGATTCATAATTTTACACCATTACAAGGCAGTTATCCATCTTACATGACTGAAATGTGGCACGGATGTACTCCGATATGATCACTCTAGTCCGCAGAGGTGGACCAACTGACCATTCCTGGAAGTACAGGCAAAACAGGAAAATGTAGATTATGGTGCAAAAGTCCACTTATATCCATAATTCAGCTTAGACTGAGAGACTATCTAAAGGCTCGGGAACCCTCTGAGGTTTTCATAAGCTGAAAGCCATGATCATCACAGTTACAGCAAATTAAGGCTTGAAATACCTGGCTGTGCATGGAATGAGTCTGTCTCATATATTAGTTTCACATTTTAAGTTGACCGCTGACATAAATTAATGCTCTTATTTTTCTAGCTTCACCTGTATAAGGCAGGTGAAGGGGGCGGTGCTGTCTCAGTGCTTTGATGCTCGGAAATGTTGCTTCTGTCTTTTAAGTCAGTTGAAGACTCACTTTTATCCTCTAGATTCATGAACTTAGTGATGCGTAACTGTGCTTTATTTTTGTTTTTAACCAGTTTTTGTAGCCATTTATTGTATTTTATTATGTTGTCGTTTGTATCTGTTTGCATTTTTATCGTCTGGCTTTCACCTCATCTGTTCGTGACAGGTTTTAAGTGGTTTGAATAGTTTTTTTGTTTGCTATTATCGATTTTTTTCTTTTAGATGTTAGTCTTATTGGTGTTTTGTTTTTTATGTTTCATTTGTGCTGTGTTCAGCACTTTGGGTCCCCCTTGAGGATGATGGAAAGCGCTACACAAATAAAAGCTGATTGACTGACTGATGCTGTGTTCAGCTCTTTGGACTACCTTTGATGATTGTGGAAAGCATTAAAAATATAGCTTAATTGATAATGACTTATATATTACGTGATACACTCAGGTTGGTACTGAGGTTCCCTTGAAGCTTATCCAAACATCTGTCAGGCTGCCAGGCTCAGCTGGTCCTCCTTTAGTGCAACAGCCATCCAAGAGCTGAAGACTTGTTCTGAATGTCTTCTCCTCCAGCTCGTCATTAGCTCGTCTCC